TTAGCAAGGACTGGGAGAGATGTTTGCCTTACGCCGAATTCTCCTACAACAACAGCTTTCAAGCAAGCCTAAAGATGTCACTCAATGAGTCATTGTTTGGTCGACGATGTCGAACCCCACTAATGTGGTCCGAGACTGGAGAACGGGCGGTACTTGGACCTGACATTATTCAAGAAGCCGAAGAAAAGGTTCGCTTGATCCGCGACCGTCTAAAAGTAGCACAATCACGACAAAAGAGTTACGCCGACACCCGAAGAAGAAACCTGGAATTTAAGGAGGGAGATTACGTTTATCTAAAGGTTTCTCCGATGAGGGGAACAAAAAGGTTTAAGGTCAAAGGAAAACTGGCACCATGATATGTGGGACCATTCCAGATCATCGCCAGGCGAGGAGAAGTTGCATATCAGTTACAGTTACCAGAGAATATCGCGGATGTACACCCAGTCTTCCATGTGTCTCAGCTAAAGAAATGTTTACGAGTGCCAGAAGAGCAAGCTCCGCTGGAAGAGATTCACATTAGCAATGATCTCACATATCCAGAACACCCGATCCGGATATTGGATGAAGCCGAAAAGAGGACTAGGAGCAAAGTGTGGCGTATGTACAAGGTACAATGGAGCAATCACACTGAGGATGAAGCCACCTGGGAAAGTGAAGAATTTTTGAGGACGGAATACCCGCACCTATTCGAAGACTGGTAAGAAATCTCGGGACGAGATTTATTTAAGGGGGGGTAGGTTTGTAACACCCTGAAAATTCGACCAACAAAATCAAAACTCTAAAAATACGGATTTTCAAAAACTTTTTAAACTAATTGCATCATGCCGATCTTATTCGTCTATTTTATCTGGATTAGATCTCGAAGATTATTAATCGTGAGTAAAGAATAGTTAATTAGAAATAAACCTTAAAAACAAATTGGTAAAATAAATATAAATTAAAAATAAAGATTAGGTGTGGATAGTAATAAATAAAATATTATCGCGACCATATTTGGATCAATTAAATTTCATTGCGATGGAATAAGAATCAACCCTAATTAAAGCTCAAATAAATTATATAAAAATAAAATATGAGTAATATTAATCTAGGGTGAATTCATTAGTTAAGATAACACAAATATTGAGTAAAATGCATATATGTAAAATTAGGAATTGTGGAATCAAATTTATATGGAAAATACACTAAAATCGGGATAAATAGGAAAAGTCACTGTTCATTGCGCCTAAGGTGTTCGATGTGGTCCCTAGCCTTCCCCCTCCTCTCCCACCTCTGCCCCTAGCCGCCCCGAGCCCGTCCATCGCGCCGCCGCTGCCACGCCGTCGCCGCGCCGCGCGCCCGTCCCGTCGCGCCGCTGTCCCGCCGCCCCGCGCGCCCACGCGCCCGTCACCGACCGTCCCGTCGCCGCGCCGCGCGCCCGTCGTGTCGCCGCTGCCGCCCCGTCCCGTAGCCTCGCGCCCCGCACCCCGCGCGCCGCTCGCCCATCGCGTCGCCGCCTCGCGTCCCGCGCCGCTACCGCGCCGCGTTATCGTCGCGTCGCCGTCGCCGTCACACCTAGCCGCGCCGAGCCCCGCGCGCCGCCCCGAGCCCCGCCGCCCCTCCCCTCTCCTTCTCCCCCTCTTCCCTATAAATATCCCCCTCCCCCATTCTCTCCACTCCATCTCCCCCTTCCTCTCCCCTCTCCCCTCTCCACTGCGCCGCCGTTCCCGTGCCGCTGCGCCGCCGTTCCCGTGCCGCCGCACCGCCGTTCCCGCGCCGCCGTGTCGTCGCTCCTGTGCCACCGTGCCGCCGCTTCTGTGCCGCCGTACACCACCGTCGCCACCGCCGTCGTCGCCGCTGCCGCCGTCGGTGAGCCGCCCTCCTTCCCCCTCGCGTCCACCGCCGCCACCGCTCGGGTAGGAGGGAGAGCCGAGAGAGAGAGAGAGCCGAGAGAAAGAGAGGAAGAAGAAAAGAAACCGAGGGAGGGAGAAGCCGAGGAAGAGAGAAAGGAGCCGGGAGGGAGAGAAGAAAGGGAAAAAGAAAGAGAGGAGAGAAAGAAAAGAAAAGGAAAAGAGAGAAAAAGAGAAAAAGAAAAGGGAAAAGAGAAAGAAAAGAAAAGGAAAAGAGAGAAAAAGAGAAAAGGAAATAAATAGGAAATTAGAGGGAGTTTGGGGAAGTTTAGAAAATTTAAAATAATTAGAATTTAATTATAGATTAATTATAGTCGTACAATTGCAAAATTTAATATAAATTATGGATTATTCTTGGTAATTTCTATAAGAAATCAATTCGTGGTAGTAATTTAGATGTAATTAATAACTAAACAAATAGATGAATTCTTATAGATTATTATAGATTATTTTTGGGTAATCCCTATAAGTAATCGATTCACGGTAGAAATTCGGATTTAATCGCTAGGAATTTTAGACGTATATTATATTTAATCGTTTAGTCATAGACTAAATTAAATTGCATAATATTTCTAGGATTTCGTCCAATATTTAGCTCGTAATAGAAATTTCTAACCTATTATATACAATACTCGGGGAGAGTAAATTATTGACAACGAAATAATTATACCCGCAAAATAGTTTAAATCGAAATTGGGTTTGCCGTAGTTCGCAGATAGTGAAGTTAATAAGAAAGAACTAAACCTACTTGATCGGCTGTAGATACTAACAATATATAATCCTTATGTCGATATATACTTAAATCAAGTAATTGGGATAGATCGGTTGCCATGCCGAAACAGTATAAATCACTTAGATCGAAATATATATTAACAACAAGACTATATATGTTCATAGCATAGCCGATCAGATCCAGCATGTATCGGCTAATACTCCGATACTACTCTATATTAAGATATCAAAGCAAGTAGAATATACCAAACAAAAGCCTAATATACTTAAATGCAACAAGATCTTAACATAAAGGGCGGCTTTAACATATCAATCAAGCATATAAGATAAATGTAGTTAAATTAGGTAAGATCGGCTGAAACCCCAATGCTACCCTAATCGGCAACCAAAGACAGGCTAGAGATTGAGATTCTAATCACGACTCATAAGATCAAACTCAACTGATGCAGCTATAAGTATGAAAAGAAGGACAGTATCTAGACAATCAAGCCGTTGGATGTTTCATAGAGTGGTAGATATCTTATATAATCTAAGTCAACGTCGGTATTTAACCTAATCAGCTGCCTTCTAGTAACACACGTTAGCCGATTGAAGGTTAAATAGCGATATTGCCGGAGATTATGTAAGATATATGATAACTTGACGAATTACATAAAAAATATTAGAGTATCATAAAGATGGAAGCACTAAACCCGAGAACGCAAGCCGCCATAAAAAGTTTTACCTCTTGTTGAAGATTGAAACCGATGCAGCTCAACCCGAAAGCAAGAACTCGTCGAAACAAAACGAAAGTAAAAGGGTGGCAATGCGCCGAGATTGTATTGAACGTGAGTTGTTTGATTACATAGGGCTCGAGGTCTATTTATACCCGAGATTACAAAATATGTCCATATCGGACACGACTCTTATCTCTAACAAACTCTAAGATACTATAAGTCTTTGCGGCAGACTTTTGCCCAAACATATCTCTAAGGAAATTACATGAAATATCCTAATTAATAGATACAATTGCCTTCTTAGGACTCTATCCATGCGTGGCAATCTTTATGAAGTACATCAACCCAACCCAACAATGTATGCCATGTCATATTGTCGGATTCGGCTCAATCGGCTAACCCTGTCCAACTCAGACTCTGCTGATCTTGATCGCAGCCGATTCGGACTCCAGTCGGTCCTTACTCTGTTTCCGGAATGATTTCCATCTCGAACTCCGTTTCGATTCCTTCTTCATCTCCGATACTTGGATTACCAAATTTGGTCGTTAACACCTTTCCATCGCCTCCTCCTCTGTGAGCTCAATGTAAAGTGAGCTCGACGACCTCCGCCTCTCCATTATCTCTCCCTCCACTTCTCTGTCCTTACTAACAACCTCCTCCCCTTTGGGTCCTCTCCCTCTGTCTCCTTAATGGTCGTCCTCGTCGGCCAAACCAAGCTCACGAAGCGGTAAAATATGGCCTCCTCCTCTTCTTTCGTTCCTTCTCTTTTACTTTCTTCTCTCCCTCTTTCTCTCCCTGTCCTCTTCATTCCGTGGACAGTAGTCGAGGGCGATGGTGGAGTAACCAAGCTCGAGGTCACGGGCAGTGGCGAGATGGAGTCGGAGTCGAGGCTGTGTTCATATGGAGACAGGCGTGATGGGCTAAGGCGACGTGCGACGGACTCACCAACCATATGGCATGCCAAGGGGCGACGAGCACCTCGAGCTTCCTAGTTGGTTTTGTGAAATAGAGGGGCTTTAGCAGTGGCGGGAAATAGAGAGGGTCATGCCATCTCCACTGCCTCACGGTCTCCAATTGATTCTGGTCTCGAGACCCCGATCGAGCTCTGTCCTGCCGCCGCCACACGCTCCCTTGTTGTCCTCCCGCGAAGAGGAATCCGGGGAGAGAGAAAGGGTAAAGGGAAAAGAAGTGGCTGACATGTGGACCTGTTATTTTTAATTTTTTTCTCACTGAAAATATGGGTCCCATTTTGTTTTTTATTCTTATTTTATTGCCGCGCAAGCAACACGTTGACGCCACGTGGCATAAAGACTAAGTCAACACATCACGAGGATGCCACATAGGACAAAACCACCCGACCAACCACCGAGGGACTCAAATTTTACTGGTTTTGGTAGTTGAAGGATGTAATATATCTAGTTTTGCTGTTGAGGTATCTATTAGCCGAGGGCAATAGTCGATGGAGGCAGAATAGACTTACTCCATCTCAAAGCTAACACAACAGCGTGTGCTCTACGAAAGCATATGGGCCCATCACCATATTAGCCGCTAAGCCCACTAAATTCAGTCATTCACACATTCACCCCTCCTACATTTATTTCTCATATCACACCCCTGAGGAAGGTCGCCATTGCGAACAGACTGCAATTCACAATCTCCTCAAGGGTATTATTGCACAAGTACCGAATAGATTAGCACTGTGTATAAAGCTCTACGGCCGCCGCGAACTGCCGGGCGCTAGGGTTTCGGGTTCCTCGACCTCTCGCCGCCGTCGTCCCGCGCGCTTGGAGGTCGGCCTGCTCGACGGTTGTCGCCATGGTACGCATCTGAGCCCAAAATCAATGTGTCCCGTCGGTTCAATTCGTTGGTGAATACTGGCGCTGATGTTGTGGTGTTTTTTTTTTTCTGTTAGATCATCCCCAAGAAGAACCGGAATGAGATCTGCAAGTACCTCTTCCAAGGTTGGCTCACTCTGCTCTCCTTGATTGGTTTCGATCTCATTACAAAATGGATTGCGTAAACAGGAAATTGGGTGATTGTTTTAATCCCTCGTTTAATTGGAAGTTTGGAGTGATTGAATAGCTGCTGAATGTATACGAAGCGAAAGAAATCCTAATTTGTGCATGTGCTTATGTAATTCTCCGTTTTTTTGGTTTGAAGAGCCAAGCGACCAATCAATTTTAAGTTTCTCTAACAAAATATAATAGAAATGTCAAATACTGGACTGATTTATCGATGCAACATGCAAGTCTGTGCTGCATTATTCCACAATCAGTAAAGGGGTACAGAAATTTCAGCTTTCACCTCTTGGTAACATTTCCAGAATAGAAAAATGCTTCTACATAATAAGACCATATGTCTTCATCCTATTTCGACTGATGAACTAGAAGGATATTGTTTCTCATTTCTTCATTTGTTTGTGTGCATTGTGGTGCATCATAGAGGGGGTTTTGTACGCCAAGAAGGACTACAATTTGGCAAAACACCCACAGATTGATGTGCCAAACCTTCAGGTCATCAAGCTCATGCAGAGCTTCAAGTCCAAGGAGTATGTCAGGGAGACCTTCTCCTGGCAGTACTACTACTGGTACCTCACTAATGATGGCATTGAGCACCTGAGGAATTACCTTAACTTGCCGTCTGAGATTGTACCTGCTACACTCAAGAAGTCTGCAAGGCCACCAGGCCGCCCATTTGGCTCTGGCCCCCCTGGTGATCGCCCAAGGTCCTAATTTTCTTCTCTCTTCAATCTTTCTGGGGTTTCAAGTGTAACTTACATTTAATAACTTACTTGCTAATTTGAAGGTTATTTTATCGCGGTTTACTTTGGGGAGCATGAGTGAATTTAGTGTTGATAACTAACTCTTGTTTTCAGAAACTTAGGAATTGTATATCTTTGAGCTCTAAGCACGTTTGGTTTGTATGCAAATGTGATGACGTTTGCATTAATAATCATGTATTTGCATTCATATAGTGGCTGAAACAAGATGTTAAACACACAAGTAATACATGGTACATTTTTAACTGAAAGTAGATCTATCTCTATGTGCTGTATTTTAATTTTAAAAGGGAAGGAAAGGTGGGTTGATGCCTTGTACTTCTAACTTAATAAGATCCATTTTTCTCATAGTTCATTGTAGTCACATTGCAACTGTAAAAAATGTGGATGCAATTGTGTTCAGAACTCAAACTGAGGCATATCTGCATGTTCTGTTGAATTCTTGAGCTACTGTGGCAATATTTTCTAGTTGTCGTTTGGCTGATTTCTGATTCCTGTGATGTGTTTAGGGGCCCACCTCGGTTCGAAGGGGACAGACCAAGGTTTGGAGACCGGGATGGCTACCGTGGTGGACCTCGTGGTGCGCCTGGTGATTTTGGTGGTGAGAAGGGTGGTGCTCCTGCAGAATTCCAGCCATCATTCAGGGTAATCAATCAATTCTGCCTATTATTAGTGTTTCACTATGTGAGGAGATAAACATGATTATTGAATAGCAACTCGCCATCCTACATAAGCTAATTGGAAAAGGGCATAACAACTGATTTTGTTGTTTAAAATTAAACTATATTACAACATTCGGATGTTCCGTTCCTGCTCTTACTTTTTTTCTAACACTTGCACTTTTCTTTGTTTGGTTTTGGTGCATATGATTAATAACTGGAGGATGTTTTTATTTGTTCTTATTTGTATTATTTATTTCCAATCTTCTCATTTCTCAATGATGGTACACCACACCATGATTTCACTCAAATGATGTTTCTTGTCCTGAAATGTTTAGAGTTCTGGTGGTAGACCTGGCTTTGGACGCGGTGGCGGCGGTGGTTTCGGTGCTGGTCCAACCTCTTCCTCCATGGAGTGAAAGGAGCTCAGGATTCTTGTCGCAGGAGACATTTTAGTATTCAAGTTTTGCAGTGGTGTTTGCAGTAGAGATCAATGCGTAGCACCTATGTTGAAACCTTAAGAGATGCAAGTGTAATTCTCCTGGTGTTGATGGCTTGAGAGTTTATCCCAAACCCTCTGTAGAAGCCAATGCCAATGGAAATATCGTTCAGCTACTCAGCAATCAAGTTTTTCCTCCCCAATTTCTACCTGTCAAATTTCTTGATTTTTGATGTATTAGTCTGCTTTTTTCCATTGTGAGGCATAACATACGTGCTGCATGTTTCTTTAGGCGAAATGCACAAAAAGTGAAATAAAACACGTTAAATCTCAACTACTGTACAGTTTACAACGTATCTGAACTGCTAATATCCTCGGTTTTTCAGGAACGAATTACTGACATAGCATAATGCATCCCTGCATTACAAAACCATTCCGTGTCTGTCTACTACGACTCCAAATTAAATTTCATGAAATTTCAAAGAATGGCAAAAGGATTGGAATTTGGAAGGTTTATTCTCTCTTTATATCTCTAAAAAAACGGATTGGAGCGCGCACTAGATGGCTTTTAATTCAATTGATATCAAAACAATAAAAACGATGACTGTTTAATATAGAAATTAAAAGGAAAGGACGGATAAAAAAACCGAATCCTTATGTATGCGCACACCCTTACGTATGAAAAGAAAAAAACAACTTTAGCGGCAAAATAGCGGTGGAAGAAAATCGGAAAAAATAGTGAAAAAAACGACGGACAAAAAATACCCGAAAACTTTATGTATTTTTTATTAGATATATAGGTGTAGATATAGATTTACAAAAATTGTCAAACCACATGAAAATCACAAAAATTATATAACGTATATAATTTTTTTAGGTTAATTACTTCTATTGGTCAACTCAATATGCAGCTATAAAAGGTTACTATTTGTACATCGGATCAGTCTTGAAAAAATAAAAGTTCCAAGGTCCTGGACATCAATGTGTGAGTACTAATCTGGGGACATTTTTAACAATATTTTGTATTTACTGAAGTATGGGATAAAATATACTATTAGGGGTGAAAATGAAAAACTACTAGGAATTAGATGCCACGTGCAGGTTCGCATGTGGGCCTTGAGGCGAGAATTGTGTGGTTGGCTGTCTCCAACTTGGAGATCATTATCCTCTCACTCTCTCGTTCTCTCTCCTAGGTTCCCAGCCGGCGTTGCTGCTCTCCCTCTCTGCAAGGCAGCGTGTGGCAGCCGGCTGGAGAGTAGCAGGGCTCGTTGGCCGGTGGGAGTAGAGTGGCTGCTCTTCTCTCCCTCCCAGATCTCCACCCCCTCGGCTCCGGCTCACTCGCCTCTGGCCGACGAGGAGGGCCACGGGCGGAGCGAAGCGAAGCGGCGGACGGGCGAGCGAGGCGGGTGGGCGGGGAGCAAACCAACGGCGACCTCTTTCCCTCCCGCATGCATCCCGTTGTCTCTCCGCTGCCCTCTTGCGTGGATCTGCCACCGGCGCCTGGATCCCATCCTCTCCGCCCTCCCCTCGCGCGGATCCGCCATTGGCGTTGACGGGAGGGGTGGATCCGGTGACCTCTTCTCCTCCCGCATGGATCCCGTCATCTCCCCGCTCCCTGCTCGCGCGGATCCGCCGCTAGCGACAACAGGAGGGGCGGACCCAGCAGCCTCTCCTACGGTGACTACAACGATTGGTGGACGTGGGCTGACCCAGTTCCCGGCATCTGCTGCGGCGGCGACAGCGAAGTTGCCGAGGATGGCATCACGTGCGACTTCCTGCTCAAGCTGCTCCGGGCGGGGAGCATGGTGGGTGCCGACGCGGCTCTGCTGCAGGAGCTGGAATCCAGGGCGGTGCATACCTCGCCTAGTCAGCTCTCGAGGCCGGGCTGCGGCCGACTGACTTCGAGGAGATCTCGCCCGCGCCGTGCTTGCCAACGACCGACGTCCTTGACTCGCCGTCAGTTCCAGCCATAACCGCCTAGGTACTTTATTTTTTTTAAGACAATACATCATGTTGTTCATGTGAAATCTTGGGATCATGTTGCATAGTAGTAATCCTGTTGCTTAGAATACAGTTCTTATCTCAGCTTGTGTTTTCAAATGTGAAGTTGCGGGGCACCAGTTCTGTGATCATAATCAATAATCATCACATATCTGTAACACAAACACATATCACCAGTTTTGTTTTGATTTGTGTTTTTGATGGGAACAGCATGGAAGCACACCAGATAAGCACATGGATTTTGTTGGGCTACTGTGTTGTAACACAAGTTTGCCAAACATTTATGTGGCATCAACATCTATCTTGGAAGTTGAAGCTGTAGATAAACATTATCAACAACAAAAGCAGGATGTATCTTCTCGAAAACAACGGTAAGAAGCAAATTATTATGTCTCTTTTGTAGCTCTACTACTTATGGAATATTGAGATGAATATAAATCTAGGCGGTACTTGTGACATTCGCCGCACAGCGGTACTGCCGCCATCTAGTTGTATTTTAATTACTTGCTACAGTGGTTTTTAGAGCATGATTAACATTATGGTGGAGCATGATTAAAAATTGCAATAATTAAACAATGGTTCAGCTGTCTGCACAGTTAATGCTTTTCTGCATAAAATTTTTGTTGCTGCAATTACCAGTACTTTTAAGTTTTCTTTCTTCTAGTTATATAAAGCCACCTAAAAAGAGATTTTCATATTTGGGTTTGCAACTCAGAGATTTTGTGGTCTCATAAGGAGTCGTGATAATAGCCACTGAACAACTAAAAAATATGCCTGTTGCTAACTTGCTTTGTGTTCTGCATCAACAGGAAAAAGATTTGGATACATATTGGTATGAGCAGACAGACCTCAATCCCTGCACTGCACAACTGCATTGCTCTTCGCAGGTGAAACGAATCTAGACATTACCACTATATGTTAATTAATTAGATGGTACTTTTAGTTCATTCATAAACTACCTTACAAGTCTTGATTAATGGAAGTGTTTATGTTAGTAATTATTCAAGCTCCTTGGGTAGAATCTAATGAAATTGAAATTGCATACAAGGTTGAGTTCATTGATAACCTGAAATCGACATTGATTGGAGGTGCCTTGACGTCCTAGAGGAAGAGCCTTACGATTTATATTTTCTTGTATTTTGGCCTGAGAAAAAAATCTGTACAATCATGTTAGTGGGAGTGCTAGCTAAAAATAGTGGAAAGAAAAGCGGGATAGAATCTGACTCGAGATAGAATATGACTCCTGAAAGCTGGAGTAGGAAACAGTGTGGGGGAACCAGCCTGACTCGACGAAAGAAAAGCGGGATATAATCTGACTCGGGGTAGAATCTGACTCCTGACGTGGGCTGGGCAAATTCCCTGACGTGGGTATATTCCTGTGTTCTATTTTGAACCTGATTTGTGCGTGAACCTGAACCTAGACTCCTGTGTTATTTTTTGTTTTTTATTTGTTCCTGGACTCCTGTGTTTTTGAACCTGATTTGTATGTGAACCTGAACCTGGACTTCTGTGTTTTTTTTGTTTTTGTATTTGTTCCTGAACTCATGTATTTTTGCATGGGCTTGTGGGCTTGTAGATGGACCTAGAATCTTTTTTTTTTGGATGAAGGAGTAGGGGCTTCTAGATGGACCTGAAATCCTGGAATCTGTTTTGGGCTTGTGGTGCATTAATCTAACCAGAATCGAACCAGAATCGGAAAGTAGCGCATCGGATGAAAATTAGCGCATAATGACGGACGAAAACGTGTGATTACAGAGATGTGACGACAGAAAAAATACTAATATTTATATTAGTTAAGATTAAGATATGTGGGCCATGTGCCCACTTCGATATTAAATTTATTTTTTTGGGGGAAGGCTCACCGCCACTGGGGCCCTCGCGCGTCGCCCAGGCATTGCACTGCTGCCTGGGCCTGGCGCACCCCAACCAAACCCAGTTCTAAGATTTGTTTAATCCATTGGTCTTGGGCCGTTTGCACTTCATCCCGTGTTACCTTGGATCATGATCGTTGGATGGGCTGCACATTCCAAGCTTAACAGTTCAGTTTTGGAAAAAGTCCAATTTGACTCCCTTAATTGTACGCCGAATCTAATTCATACCCCTTAACCAGAAAACCGGATAGAACGACTCCCCATTTGACTCCCTCGGCGGTTTTGCTGACGTGGCAGTGTTGACCTGGACTTCGTCCCACGTGGCGCTGACATGGTTTTAGAATTGAAAAAAAATAATCAGTGGGACCCATCTGTTATTCACACAAAATATATTGTGGGACCCACTAGCATGTGGGGCCCACATGTCATCCTTCTTCCCTTCTTCCTCTCTCTCCCTTCTCTCTTTTCTCTCCCCCCCTCCGGACGCACGCGGGGATCGATGGCGGCGGCAAGCGGGGCCGGAGTGGTGACGGCGGCGTACGTGCGGGGCTAGAGACAGATCGGTGGCGTACGGGAGGCGGGCGCTGGAGCGTCCACCACCCCCTCCAGCTCCACCTCGCCATATCCATGTTGTCATCGTCGTCCGCGTCCCCTTCCCCCCTTCCGCTGCGCTGCCTCTCCCTTCTCCCTTCTCGGACACTAGCGGCGCTTCGGCAAGCGATGGCGGAGGTAGAGGAGTAGCTTGAAGGCGTGGAGGACGCTCCCGAGCTCGGCGGCGGAGGGTGGGCGAGATCTTCGTAGCGCTGCCTCTCTCCTTTCCCTTCTCCACCACCGGTGATAGCCTCAGAAGGCGGCGGCGCTTCGGTTAGCGGCGATGCAGGTAGAGGAGTATCACAACGGCGCGGAGGGCGCCCACGAGCTCGGCGGCGTTGCGCTCCACCGACGCTGCCTCCCATGACCGCGCCATCTCCCCCAACGTCTCTACGCTCCTCCGCCTCGACTACTTTGCCGCCACTGCCGAGGCCAAGCTCCCCGTGCTCGTCTGGCGACGCCGTCGTGGGTGTGGTTCCAGCAACAACGCCGACTGGATCCCCCGCCTCCTGCCCGCCGCCGCCGCTTTGGTCCTCGCCCGCATGCCGCCGTCGCCTCCGCTGTGGTCCTCACCCACATGCCGTTGTCGCCGCCGCTCTGGTCCTTGCCCGCATGCCGCCGTCGCCACCGCTGTGGCCCTCGCCCGCATGCCGCCGTCGCCGTCGCCACTCTGACCAAGAGAGGGGGAGAGAAAGAGAGAGGGGGAGAGAGAAGGAAGGAGGAAAAGAGAGAGGATGACATGTGGACCCCACATGTCAGTTGGTCCCACATTATTTTTTGTGAATGACAGATGGGTCCCACTGATTTTTTTTCAATTCTAATGCCACGTCAGCAAAACCGCTCTCCAAAACCGCTGAGGGAGTCAAATTGCACTGGTTTCATTAGTTCGGGGATTTGTCCTATCCGGTTTTCTGGTTATGGGGTACGAATTAGATTCGGCGTACAATTAAGGGAGTCAAATTGGACTTTTTCCTTCAGTTTTCACTGTTATCTTGGAAAATCATTAACGGGCCGATGAACGGGCTACACAGTTAGGACTGTAGGAGCCCATTCAGTACACTGAGCTGCAGTAGCATGGGTATTTATGGATTTTCTTTTGCCATGTTCTCTCATTTTGGAAAAAAAAAAGTCCATTTTGCGTCGTCTAACCGGGTATAAAAGCTGCTCAAATATAAATGGCACTTCTAACATACCCATGGAGTATTGACTATCCTGATTTACTGTTTTAACTTTGAGTACCACTGATTTTTATATGATTAAAATGCGATGAGCAAAATGTTACTAGTACTCTCTTGTTATACGATGATACAATGCACTTCGATAATATGACATTTTATATTATTTATAATCTATTATCAAAACTAAGTGGCCAAAGTTTAAGGATTAATAGTATATAATGTTTAGATTATAAAATAGAGGCATTTAAAATATGATCTAGATTCCTCTGATCTATTAGTGTTTGTACACCATTCTATTCTTGGTCACTTATTTTTATTAGAGAAAAATAAGATTAGTTTTTTATTTTCAGAAAAAATAAGGTTTTTTACAGAGAAGAATAACGTGGATCGAGCAGAAATATAAGAGGTTATCACATTATAACAACAAATGAATTGTACATAATATATTATAGTATCAAAACCATGCTAGATACCACAATCGCTCCAAAGGTGTAGAAATTATCACATTAACCATTGAAGGAAGAAGGGTTTATTTTTTAACATCGTGATCTAGATTATGATGGTGTAAATTAATCGGTGTAGCTTTATAAGAAAGACAATTATGTTTTTATTATTAGAAGCACATGTCATATTTTCATTTATCCTTTATTCTAGCTCTGCTAAATTGTATGGGAAATGCGGATTGTCCTCAACAATTAGCATTTGATTTGTATGATATAAGATTCTGAAGTGGTTTAGTAACCGTCCCCAAAATAAGTACGGATGTTTTTCTTTGATTTCAAGCACCTTGATACTATGAGGATATATTATGTTTTTCTTTGATTTCAAGCACCTTGATACTAAACTACACCTTTTAAGTTTCAAAACATTCAGAAGGTGCTCAAGCTTCTAGTAGGGAGCAACCAAGTAATAATAACCTAAACCAGGACTAGTACCAATCACAACCAATATAGGCATGCTGAAGGTTTCTCACAATGTTGAAAATGTTCATAGTGTTAAGTACTAAAAATTAGGAAAGTTCCATGATGAATATATGCAAATTGTAAAATGTCATTACATGTGAGAATGATATGAACCTTGGTTTCCACATTAATGACACAAAACATGATATGCAAAAAAATGGACTTTACTTCTTGTACAGGGTAAAGTCCATTTTTTCCCTTAGACTTTGCTCAAAGTCCAATTTTCACCCTGACCTACAAAACCGAATGTTTTCCGCTCCCCAAGTTTCAAAATTAGGTTAAACCCCTGAAGCATATGTTGTTCTGGTTTTGTTTGAAGTGGTTGTGGTTTTCCTAGTTCAAACCCTTATCATGCACGTCTTGTTGATTCACATGTCACGATTAATTAGGCTCACAACCATAAAACTTAATTACTAAGTTGACTCTCATGCTAGCGAAAACCTTTTCATATAGACCTATAGATGGCCATAAGGCCTGAGGCCCGACGGCCCGGCCCATGGCGCGACATTTTGGCCCGGCCCAAACACGGCACGACCTGATGGGGTCAGGCCCGTGCCGGCCTATCCCGACTGCCTGGCCGTGCCTGCCCCCCCCCCCCCCCACTGGCACGACCGAGCTGGCACGGCACGATGGGCCGGCAGGCCAGGCTCGACACATAAAGAATATGGAGTAAAAATAGATATATTATATGCCACGGTCCAAAGAATAGGGAAGTAAAATAGACTTATTTCGGCTATATATATGTTAGCCCAAAGAGGAGGGAGAGAAACTAGACTTATTTTAGCTATATATATGTCACAGCCCAAAGAGGAGGGAGGGAAAATAGACTTATTTTTAAAAAGGCACGATGGGACACTCGTGCCTTCGAGCTGGCATGGCACGGCCCGACTGCTGGTGGGACGTGCCTGGGCCGAAGGTGCAGCCCATGGGATGGCACGGCACAACCTGGTGTGTTGGTCGGGCCGTGCCGGCCCGACAGATTTTAGCCCGAGCACGGCCGTGCCTGGGCCATGCTGGGCCAGGCCGCCTGTTTGGCCATCTATATATAGACCAAAACCACCATGGAATATGTTTTAAGGTGTTATGTTTGGTTTTCAAACCTGGGGGTTGAATAATAACCACTTTTCCAGTTTAGGGTGAAATTAATTGAACTTCAAGAATAGTTCAATGGCCAAAATTGGACATTACCTTTTTTTTAGAGTACAAACATTCAGATGGTGTTCAAGCTCCTAATATAGACCAGCTAAATTAGGATACCCCTAAAATCGGGGCTGTTGCCAATCATCACACCTTGAGTGACGCTAAAGTTTTGCTTAAAAAGTGCTAATTATATTGTTGTAATATACAATTCTTTTTATTTAGAATATTATCATTAAAGTTCTCAATCAACTAGTGTATTGTTCCTTTGGCTTAGTTTTAATAAGAAATTAACATGTGTTTGCATTTTCAGAAAAAGGAAATAATAAGTGAGTGTTGCTAAAGTGCTTCTTGCATCCAATGAGAAATCTACTATAGAAGATGGTTAATGTGGTACACCCAATGAGCATTCTTCCTGAGAAAACAATGCATTTGGCACATCCGGTGAACTATGTGCTGAGGAAGAAGTATTTGACACATCTGGTGAGCAACATTCAGAACAAAAAAATGACACATTTGATGGATGACTTCTAGGGAAAACAAGGTAGTTGACAAACTTAATGGTAAACTTGTTGGACATAAACATGGAATATCCAAAAGACTGAATTGTGTTTAGGGCCACTTTTTTACCAAAGTTTCACTTCGGAAGTGCTTCCAATCTACTTACTTATGATTGTTGGTAGTTGTATTTGTTCATCGCCATTCCGCATTAATGTAAATATTACAATGTAATTGTGCCAATACGAGTATTGTTATGTATTGGTTAATCTTACCAGCCACCTTTATGGTAAATTAATCGAGATAATAGAACTTGGTTTCCTCGTGTCACAAATATTGTATTAGCAAAGGTAGTTTATCTTGCACATAAAATAATAATAATATATATACTACCTAATAAGTGCACTCCATTTTGTTCACTTAAACATATATTCATTAAATATCATAAAGTAATGTAACTATTGGGTTGGTCCATTGGTTTGTAGACACACATACACTCCGAGGCCGATTGAATTCATGTGTACCGTAAGCAATGCATGTTTATGAACAACATGTCTATAAATCTTAGAGCAATATGATCAAATTGTGGCTTGCCAGAATCTTGCTTTTAAGACTCTCTTCGTTCCAAAAAAAAAATAGCGAGTTAGTATTGGATGAGACATACCCTAGTAATAATATGAATCTAGAGAGCTGGCTTGTGCAATTGGTGCAATTGTTGTGCCCGTGAGTACTCGAGAGTAAAAAAACATGAGGCACGTATACAGATTCAGGATTCCCGAAGGATAATAACCATACTTATGTTCTTGGTCACTGTATGGAAGGTTTGTACAAAGGGTGTGAAGCTCTCGAGCTAGCTAACAAACCTAAAGTTCTTGCTGATTCTATCGTCCAACCCTCTCTCTACCAAGAAAAGAAGAGCTCTGTATGCAATAATACAGCTGAACTAACTCTTCGAGCTCCATGCGGTTTGTTGTAGTGGCAGACATCCTGTGGGACGCAATGCAAGGCCCTTTCGCACAGTCCCAGTCTTTTCCCACAACCTATGTATCCACGCCTATGTGAAAACTTGACTTTAGATTCAACATATCTCGCTTCATTAATACATTGAGTAATGTAATGGAATCTGAACTTAATGCGATGGACGTGCTCTGTAGCCATTACGACATGTAATGGTATCCAATAGGATACACGTCCACCTATCTTCTGTCAGCGAGAACACCACATACCCCTCCTTGGGCTGTTGGCGGGTTCTTGTTTGAAGAATCCTGGAGTGCACGATTTAATCCGTTCCCGAATGCAGCTACGTGTTGCATCTCGTGAAGGATGACTGTTCCTGCCTACTCTTATTAACCAGTTTTAATCACATACCTAGTAGTCCTCGGACAACCTCTAGAATCATGTTCCCATCTTGAAATGGCGCCATGACTCGGTTCTCAGGCGGCTAGCCAATTGGTCCCATGCAACAACGCAAATGATGCATGGCCACCTTCGAGCAGCTCTAAGGGCACGGCCTTGAATTGGGTCCGCTGACCCAAATAGAGTGCATCCTCTCTTTAAAGCGTACTACTAGATGGATGATAGGTACGTGGACCTCCCCGCTAGATCTTAGATCTAGTTTAAGCTTAGGAAGCGCTGGCCAACAACGTACTTAGCCTTGACAGCCTGTCTTTCAACCTACGCTGACAATTCTATGAAAATACACTAGTTTGAAGGAAAAGGATGCACTGAACTCTAGATTTTTTGCCCTTTTACTCGCCGGAAGTTGATGGTTAGGATTTCGGATGGCTTTTAACAACCACCAACAAATGGCGAGGGCCAATAGTGGCAGCGACATTTTGATCTCAGGGCGCGGAGGCCTAGGATCATCGTGATGGTGCAGATCCTGGCGGTGGCATCGCCGGCCTCATTGGCTAGGACCTGGGTTCAAAATTTCGGATCGAAATTTCTGAAATTTTGAAAATTTCAGTTCTATCGGACCCCCCCTAATATGATATAATTTCGGCCGAAATTTTAATTTTTTTTTTTAATTTTTTTTCGTGAATTTGGTAATATTTTGTTCAAATTTGGTCAAATTTTATTAAAAATTTTATAAAATTTCGGCCACCCCTCATACAAATCAGCAAACCAAAACATTAAACCCTTGCTAGGACACAGAGTTCACCGCTACACATGATGCCTTCTTCAGTATGATGCCCCGCATAAGGCCTTGCTTGATCTGACGGTTGGGATATTCTCTGGGTGGGATCGAACGGAACAAACTCGAGAGCAAGAAAAAGGCTTACGCTGAGCAAATTAAGACGAGAGCTAGAAAAAGGCTTACGCTGAGCAAATTAAGACGAGAGCTAGACACACACACAAATGTTCGCATGATACGTTGCCTTGCCCCGGTTGCTGGATGGCTTTTGTGGCGCCCAAAGCAAAGTACTTGTTCGATGCCTGGCTGTGGATCAGAGGTAGTACAACCTTCCGATGCAGCTGGGTTTTATTCTTAGCTGAGACAGTAGTCGATCGAAATAAAGCTCTACAGCTGCAAGGTTTCCTTTTCTTTTTCAGCCTAAGAACCTCTCTTATTTTCTTCATTATTCAACATTTTATATTTAAATAGGAACTAGATATAAAGCATTTGACCGTTTTTTTAAAAAACTTTCAAATATAACTAAAGTTATAACTAAAGTATAATTACACTATAACTTGTACTATATAATATAACTTGTATACACATGAAGGGTGGCATGTTGTCTAGCAGCAAATGCGGTGATACACCAAGTTGACAGTTTAACTCCTTGTTCATGCTCTTGCATGTGATTTCCTACCCTGCACGAATCTTGAGGCACAATCCAACGGTCATAGATTCAAAAGTTTGGGGAGAAAAAAAAACTCGGACGTATTCAAGCAATTCCATTTAACTAACTTTTACTTTTAAGTCTAGCCCGTGTTAAGAGAAGTTTAATAGTATAGCCCACTACTAATTCCAATTCATCTATAGAGCCAATTCATACAATAGTTGTTTAATATACTATCAATATATGGTCTTACCTATCATACACACACTGCGTCTTGGATCCGTGCTGCAGCTAGCTATAGGTCTGTAGCCCGCTACTCTTATCTCTCATATTTTATCTTATTAAAATATGTTTATAGCTGGCTCCTCGAGAAACTTGACATATTTCTAAATGGAATTTTGTTTTTTTTAAGAACAGAGAGTACATAAATAAAATTTGACTGTGATTGTATATAGAAAACTGAAACTAGTCACAAGGAGGAAAAAAGAAGAAGAAGAGGGCTATAAAAGTAATAAAGAGCAAATAAGGAGAAGATTATTTAGCTGTAGAGATCAACCGAAGAGAGCAAAGTATCAGTCCCCTCCGAGAGAGAGGGTTTAGAATAGTTTCCTCGTCAAACAATCCGCGCCGTCGTCTATATAAAAACCTCACCCTTCTCGTTACATCTTATCTCATCGTGTGTTAATTTGCATTTGCACTGCAAACGGCGGCCGGCCATGGACGGGCCCAGCGGCGCAACCGACACGGCCAACGCGGCCGGCGGCGACGCAACGCTGGCTGTTCCTCCGCCACCGCCGCTGCTGACCGGAACGGCCGTTCCGCCGCCCCCGCCGGCAGCTGCCCAGCCGCAACCACAGCAAGCAACGGTGGCGGAGGGTGACCCGCCGCCGCCAGCAACCGGTAGTGCAGAGGAGGTGGCCGGCAACGGCGAGCCTCCTCAACCGCCCGCCACTGATCCGGCGAGCGAACCCACTGCGCCGCCGGAACCACAGCGAGCAACAGAGGAGAAGAAGGGTGACGAGCCACCACCACCGGCATCAACCGGAGTGAAAGAGGAGGTGGCCGGCCATGGCCAGCCTCTTCCACCGCCCACCAGTACTCCGGCGAGCGAGCCCCCTGCGCCGCCGGAACCAAAACAGCAGCAGCAGCAGCAGCAAGCAGGCGACGCGGCGAAGCAGGCGGCGCCGTCTGCCGACGACGAGGACGGAGGTAAAAAGAGGCACAGCCGTTGGAACTTCCTCCGCAACCTCTTCCGCCGCCACAAGGGCTCACTGCGCGACGCCGTGAAGGCCGCCGCTCTCACGAAGCCGCGGAAGGAGGAGGAGGAGAAGAGCAAGAAGACCGCCGGGCCCGATGAAGCCAGCAAGCTGCCGCCGCCGCCGGCTCCACCTCCCGCTCCCGACGATGACGCGGCTAGCCGTAGCCGGTCTACGCGGAGGAGGCTCGTGAAAGTGCTACGGGCCGTCCAATTCATCACGCGGTTGAAGAACTGGAGGAATCGCCCACCGGAGGACGGTAAAGCCAAAGAGGAGCAGAAGCCGTCTCCGGAGACGAAGGACAAAAAGCCACCGGAGACGACGGGGAAGGACAAAAAGCCGGCGGACCCGGAGCTGGGGCAAGCGAAGGAGAAGACGCCGGCGCCGCAGCAAGAGGAGGAGAAGAAGGAGAAGGAGGAGGAGACGCCAGAGGCGAAAGCGCAGCGGCTAGAGGAGGAGAAGTCACGGCGGAGGTGGAAGGAACGCGGGGAGGCGCTCCTGCAGGAGATCCTCGAGGCCGCCTTCGAAGCGCTGCTCGCCGGCGAGTTCAACAAGCTCAAGGATCAGTGGCGGCAGTGCCTCCTCACCTTCTCCTTCTTCCCCGTCAACCACAAGGTGAAGAAGCAGGCGGTCACCTACTGGTGGGCCGCCCAGTTCGGCCTCCCGCACCGCCGCGCCCCCAGCGCGGCGGAGCCCCGCGGGTCGGAGGAGATCTTCGCCGAGTTCTGCGCCAGCGGCTTCCTCGAGCCGATCACCAGCCGCTGCAGCGGCGCGTCCCACGGCTGCCGCGTGAACCCGCTCGTCCACTGGATGGTGAAGCGGACGGCGAGGGGCGAATTCGCCGGCCTGGACCAGCACGGCCACCCCACCGTCGATCCGGGCGAGTCCAGGGTCCTCTGCCTCACGGCGAGCCACCGCGAGCTTCTACAGAGGCTAGGCAGGGCCGACGAGTCGCCGTCGGCGCCACCGTCCCCGACGAGAAAACTTTCGAAAGTCAAAACGCCCAGCCAACAAGACCGTCAGCAAAAAGAGGCAAAAGAAGACCGTCAGCAAAAGGAGCCAAATCCAACAGGAACGCCCTCCAAAATAGCCGTCAGCAAACTTGAGGGCGAGACGACAGTACGTATAGACTCCTCCCCTCTCATTTTCAAATTGGGTGTGGATTATTACCGATTTACACTTTTCAACTTTGACTCATCAGCAAAAGAAGCCAAACCCAACAGGAACGCCTTCCGAAATGGCCGTCAGCAGACTTGAGGGTGAGACGAAGGTACGTATAGAATCCCATCTCATTTTCAAATTGGGTGTGGATTATTACCGAATTACTATTTTCAACTTTGACTCGTCAGCAAAAGAAGCCAAACCCAATAGGAATGCCTTCCAAAATGGCCGTCAGCAAATTTGAGGGCGAGATGAAGGTACGTTTAGACTCCCCTCTCATTTTCAAATTGGGTGTGGATTATTACCGATTTACTGTTTTCAACTTTGTTGTTATTAATAGTTTTATATGGTTAGGGTATGGTTTACAATATAACATATTTATATGGTGCAACATATTTTAAATAGTATGACTTTTTTTTTGCGGGGCAATAGTTTGCCATATTTGATAGTATTAATAGAAAGGGGTTGTGAAAAATTGAGTGAATTTGTGTATTTCATACCTTGGTGCCCGGGCACCGTGGTATATATATATCCTACATTGCGAAATCTACTGCCAAGGGTTACTTGTCGTTCTAGTTTTATCTTAAATCAAACATGTATATCTTTCACCATTGATTTTAAAAACCCGTGTAATTTAATGGCATGTGAATTATATATTATGAAATTATTTCTCATGATGAATCTAAAATTACAAATCTTAGAAATCAAACTATATGAGTATAGAAAATTATGGTCAAATATTATAATGTTTGACTTAGGACAGACTAAAACAACTAGTAATTTAAAACGAATGGTGCATTTTCAATTAATAAGGGGCAGTTGGTCTTTTTAGCCCTATCTTAATTTTCATTCTAGTGAGTTTTTTTTAAAAAATAATAATTTGCATTCTAGTGGCTAAAATTGGAGTTATTTTGGTATTGAGGCAGTAACAAAGTTCTTTTCTACCATGTGCATAATTTAGGGAAGCATTACCACAATATGGAAAAGAAATGTAAATTTCTAATAGTGTGGCTCAAATACAAATAAAAATATTCCATCTAATAGAAAACCCCTATTAATTAGTTTCACACTATTTACCTGGTGCTAGTACACATGCTATAGAATTAAAAGCACTTTGGCCTTTATTTGAAATTATGAAACTAGAAAACTCATAAGTACCTAAAATTTTGCCTAAAAATGTATAATGAAGGAAAAATAAAGTCATATCCAAATATTAGTCAAATTCCTATATGTACATATATATTAATTTGTAAATTTAAATGTTATTTTTTAGTTATGTTAACCATGTTGAACGGGATGATGTATAAATATTATCTAATGGCATACATTCAGAAATAGAGGCAGTACATTGTATATGCCGAAATCTCTGAACTGATATGTGATGTCCATCATATCCTTGGCATATTTATTAACATATTTATTAGAGAAAAATGGAAGAACTTATTTTTCATATATCCAAAACAATCCAGATTTTTTATCAGTTAGAAATATAAAAGCTTATGCAATTATATATAATACTATAAAAGCCATGCTAGACACCATATTTTCTCCCAATGTGTTATAAATTACTACATTAATCAGCGAAGGAAAAAAAGACTTATTTTGTCGATCATAATGATCGGTCTAGATTATAATGGTGTAAATTGATTGACAGCTATATACAAGAGACAATTGTCTTTATATTATTAGAAGAAAGGGTTGTATATCAATTATAGACATTTTCAAATAAACTTTAATCTAGCTCCGCTCAATTGTATGGGAAATTTATATACTCCTCAAACATTAGCATTTGATCTTTATGAAAAATACAAACCTATATTCAGATGCAAAGCAACATGTTTATGTATTAGCATCATGCAACAAGTACTTTTACTCTACTTTGAAGGTGGTGTGAATGTCCAAAACAAATAAGTATTTCTAATCGGTGTGGGGATAAGATATTGTCACATATCTGGGCAATAAATTTTTTAATTATTTGTATGTCTAAATAAATACACATCTGTACCCTAGATTTGAATTTTGAATGCTTGAGGAAGGAGTGGTCAGGTAATGATTCAAAGACGCATGATTCATCTCCCATGTGTTCACTTTTTTTATTTGAAAAATAGAGTACATATAGTGAAGGTCTAGTTTGTGTGAAAGATGTAAACATAGACTACCAAAGTGTTGTGCTTTGTGCTGCATGCACATTTGAATTGATATTCTTCTATCTCTTCTTTGCTCTAGGAGCAACAAAATGAAAATGACAAGATCAATCTCAAGCTTGAGCTCCAGAAGTTTCAAAACATACATGTAATCCTCAACATCAATGCACATGTGTATCGGCTCCCATATTGCTTGTTATCCTTTCTTGGCGATCGCCTGGTAGTCCTACAACTTGGTCGATGGTGGAACTCCGATAATAGCACATACTTGGAGGTGGAGGGGCTAGAGAAACTGAATGCCATCGGCAACCTCAAGAAACTCCGATACCTTGGCATTCGTGGGTTGTCAAAGCTGACGGAGCTACCCAAGAATGTCAACAAACTACAACAACTTGAAGTCCTGGATGTTCGTGGGTGCCAAAACCTGACCCATGTGATGTCATCTACTGTCAGGAACCTTAGGCAGTTGACCCATTTGGATCTCACTGAATGCTACATGCTGGAGCATATTGGATGGGAGATCACCTCCCTCTCAGAGCTTCAAGTATTCAAGGGTTTTGTCTTTGGCATTGATGCACCAAGGAGATATGTATTCCAATGTCGAGATAGGCATGCGTGTCATTTGCAAGACCTCAAGGCGATGAAGAATCTCCAAAAGCTCAGTATCAATGTTACAACTGATGCAAATGTTGACAAGAATGATATGGGGCAACTTAAGCATCTTGAAAGCCTCCAATCACTAACAATAACATGGGGTGAGTTGCCAAGCATCTTAACATCTGCAGAAAGAGAAAATGAGAAAAAGCAACTCCTTGAGAGGTGGACTAGCCTAGTGTTGCCGTTAAGTCTTGTGAAACTAGATGTCCGATGCTATCCCAGTGAAGAGATCCCATTTGAGTGGTTTGAACCAAAAGGGGCCATTAAGCCCAAAAACCTCAAGAAACTATATGTGAGAGGTGGAGCCGTTAAGAAACTAAATCTTCCCAAAGATAACAATATTAAGACTCTGCGCCTAAGATATCTCAAGGAATTTAAAATGAAATGGGAAGAAATATTGGGTATGATGAACAATCTCCATTATGTGGAAGTTGTTTACAAGGATCCTAAGGTGATGAAGAGTGAAAAGATAAAACATCAAACAGATAATGTCGAGCTACAACCTCACATAATTAAGGAGAAGGAAAAGAAGGTAAAGGAGGAAGAGGAAAAATGTATGGCGGAGATCAAAAAAAATATGAGGATACCAGATTCTACCTTGGATGAGCATGGGGTGTGGAAGAAGGATCAAAAGGAAGCTGATCAAAAGAAGGCAAAGGAGGAAGAGGAAAAACATATGGCGGAGATCAAAAAAAATATGGGCATACCAGATTCTACCTTGGATGAGCATCGGGTGTCGAAGAATGATCAAAAGGAAGTTGATCAAAACAAGAAGGGCAAAGGCTGTGAGGGTGATGGGGATGGAAGCAAAGGTACACACTTCACCTACTATCTTGCCTTTAATAAATTTTGAGCATGCAATTGATTTCTATAGTTTTTCACACTTCTACTATATAACTACATTCCCTATTTCCATATGCTCTAGAATCTAGTAACTCTCAGAGTAAGGTGCATGATGGTCATGATTCCAAGGCTACTATCAACAATAATGTTACAAAAGTTTCTAGTGAATCCGACCTGACGGGAAAAGGTGAAATCATGATGCTACATAATATTTTTCTACAACTCCATACACATTTATATTAAACTACATTTTACAATTTTTGAACATTTAGAAGGTGCTCAAGGTACTAATTAGGATGTTGATATCCCAAAGGAATCTCACAATGTTGAAAATGCTCGTACTTGTAAGAACTGTGAATACTTTGAGAAAATTAGGAAGCACCATCATAAAGATAGCAAATGGAAAAATGTCATCGCATGTGAAAATGATATGTGGAACCTAATTTTTTTGATGGCACCAAGAAAATTGGATCACATTCATTTTGTATAATAAAATTCAAAAATATATATATATGCATTTTCATTTGAATCTTTAAATGATGTTCAAGCTCATAATACCGAGCTACCCAAAAAAGGATACTCCTTAAACAGGGGGTCGTTGCCGATCATGACACCTTGAGTGCCCTAAGGTATTTCTAAAAAAAAAAGGTGATAATGGTGGAAATATACAGTTATCTTCTATATTAGAAGATGGAGATCATCATATATAAGAGTTTTAATCACTCATATATTGTACCTTTCATGTAGTTTTAACAAGAACTAATATGTGTTTGCATTTTCAGAACAAAAGGAAAAAACAAGTAGGCGGTCCTAAAGTGCTCCTGGCATCGATATACTACTCAAGATAGTAAATCTGGTACTCCCAATGAGCAATCCTCTAGAGTAAATGATGCATTGGACACACCTAGTGAGCAACGTGATCTGAAAGGCACTGTATCTGACACATTCAGTGAGCATCATTCTGAATAAAAAACTGACATATTTGATGAATAACATGCTAGCAAAAATAAGGGACTTGGCGGACCTACTGGACAATGATATCCTCAATGTGAGTGGCCTTGAAACCTAGAAAACAGCCTCAAAGGAAAGTGATTCAAAATCAACACCACACCTTGCACCATATGTACATATGGTGCTTTGGCCATTGGCAAAGAAGTTATAGCCGATGACATAGAAAGTGACAAATAGAAGCTCCAGTAAGAGGTGCAAAATTATGCAGCATGGAGAGTCGCCTATCATCATGTGTGTTGTATTTGTGTGTGTAACAAGTATTCAATGCAAGCATAAACATGTCTTCAAATTCTTTTGGTTGTTTATAGTCGGTCCTCAAACCATTTAAATAAGATTTTATCATCTCGGTGCATTGGAAGAGCTTCCAATTTGTTACTTATGCTTGTTGTTAGTTGCATTTATTCATTTACATTCCACAATATTGTAAACATTATAGTGTAATTATACTACTAAGAGTATAGCTACATATTGATTAGGCAACTGGCCTCCTTTATGGTAAATTCATCTGAATAATAGTAATTGGTTTCCTCATGCCACAAACAGTGTATTTGCCAAACATCAAAACATGAATGAGTGATGAATGAGCTACCTTATGCATGCCATTTTATTCACCAAGCACATATATCAATTAAATATCATTACATCTTAAAGATTGTGATCACATTTGAATGTTATCATCTAACCATCCTCCAATCTTCATTTGTTTTTACCTTAAATATTTTATGACTTACTCTCTTCGTTTCAAATTAATTGTCGCCTAGGTTTGCCCTAAGTCAAACATTTTAATCTATGACCATCAATTTTTATAAACACATAGTTTTCTTAAGATTTATATTTTTAGAATCTCTATGATAAATATTTTGATAATATATAATTCATATGTTGTTAAACAACATGATTTCTAAAAATTAATGGTCAAAGATAGACATGTTTGATTTAGGACAAAGCTAGAATGACAAGCAATTTTAAACGGAGGGAGTAATGTGCACCATCCCAAATGGTAGGAGAAACATGTGGCCCACCAAAAACTATCCCATTACAAGATAAGATAGTTGATGCATTACTTGAATTTGGAATTCTTAATATTGATTTTCGATCGGTTTGAACCATCATGTGTTCTATCGTATATGAAATCTTTAGAGAAATGTCTCTTGACGCCAACTTTTACATTAAACATAATGTTCCAACAATAGTTTGATTTTTTTGCTTGGTCTTACCACTATACTATCATCAACAAATTTCTAGGACATGAACAAACCATTTAAAACAACTGAAACTAGACATGTGGAACATTAATCCATTCCAATTTTGATGTTAATATTGAATCTATGAACTCTTGAATATCATTGGAGAATTTATTGAACATATATTGAAACCAAACAAAGACCATTAAGCAATTCCTCCTGAAATTACTCAAAGGAACTTTATCGATGATAAGTAATAGTAATGAAACATGATGCATTGAACATTTCATTTTTACCTTATTGAAGTTCCAATAACAACCTGATTCATTTTGTCCTATCTACCTTGAACATGACATACAATTTTGCAGTATGGCCTAATTTCTAAAATATAAGGAGTAAATGGTTCAAACATAATTAATTAGATACTTGGTCTAAAGATGCCACTATTTACTTTCAAAATTTAGAATAACTGTAACACCTTAGATTTCAAATTCCACACAAACTCAATTTTTTTCAAGAAAACTAGGTGTTGGCTATGTAGTTCCTAGCATGAAGCATGTGCCTTGTACCCCCCCTCCCCGCCTTTACCGGTGACGAGGAAGAAGCTCACATCTTGTGAGTATGATAATCAGCTTGGAGAGGAAGTCCGTACAAGTACCACCAGCTTTATTCAAAAGGAGGGATTGGCACAACGGTGATGAGCACAAGCCAAACTACTCTACCAGTGTTCATTTTTCAATCTGTGGAAGACCATGTAATCGAAGTTCAAGCTCTGTCATCAACTCTATCATCATGAGCTATAAAGCATGACCTACCAATGTGGAGAAGCGAGTTGCAATCATGGATTGGATGGCTAGGTTCCGTGGATATTGCCACCATTGCTCAAAGTTGCCACCACTTTCTTTTTGTGTTGACAAAGGGATAGAGAACAAAAAAAAAAGTTGACTCTGTCGGAGAGACATCCCAGCATAGGCATGAAGTTGAGAAGATGTAATGATAAGAGGCACATGCTGCAATCACGTGTAACTCTGATAGCCTATTACGTACTGAACAATGTTGACTTCTGTTTTTTTTTGCTTGACCTAGGTTGAGCCATAGGGAATGTAAACGGAGCGGATACGAACAGATAACGTTGATACCATATTATTTTTCGTATTTTTAGATGGATACGAAAATGAATAGAGATGGCAACGGGTATGGACCCGACGGGTTTCCACTCCCCGTACCCACACCCATTGAAATTAAATCTGCCCACTACAAAACCCACACCCGCACCTGCACGGGTGATGGGTACCCATTGGGTACCCGCACCCGCACGGGTGATGGGTACCCATTGGGTACCCACACCCGTTGCAACAATTTCAATATTGCACAACAATAACTCAATAAGGTTATAGGCTGCAGTGATATGTACACGGTAGGATTGAAAAACTAAGGCTCAAACAAACCATACAGGATACATACAGCCTGCCATATTGCAAAATCAACAGCAAGCCATGCAACCACATTGCAAAATCAACCAGCAAGCTACGCAACCCCAGGAGGCAGCGTCCCTGGCTCCCTGCGCCTAGGCGGCGACCGACGCGGTGGATGTCCGCCCCCACGCTGGTGGTTCCCCGCACGGCGGCGCCCCTGCTCCACCGGCGCGACTGAGACCGGTCGGCGGCTGGTGCTGCGGCCATGCGCGCCTACGCGGTGTCGTGCCGGCGTGTGGCGTGCGCTCGTGCGCGGTGGCGCGCCGCGTGCGCCCGTGTGGTGCGGCCGTGGCTTGGCCGCTTGGGGGATGGAAGGGGCGGCGAAGAAACGGAGGCAGGATGGAGAGGAGAGGAGGAGAAGGGGAATAGGGTTTAGAGGAGTGAGGAATTGAGGATTTATACCTAGGGTTTTGATGGTTGTGGGCCTTGGGCCATCTGCATATTGGGCTAGGCCTACGGGTATTTTCAACCCACGGGTTAATGGGTTCGGGTGACAGGAGAACGTACCCACACCCATGTACCCGATGGGTGAAGGTTTTGCCCGTTAACGTACCCATGGGTATGATGTTTGGAACGTATATACACCCTAGTAGAGTAAAAACCCAACGGGTTTCAGGTCACGGGGCCCCATTGCCATCTCTAAAAATGAATAGCTTGGATACGGAAACATACGAATTATCTCGAACCAATATAAGGATCGTATGATGGACACGAATACGTAAATAATATTTCTCAGAATACAAAAACCACCTAAACTTATAATAGAAACAAATAGAATCACACATAATTAGCTTATTTTATATAAAAAGTTTCATCATAGACTAAACAATACCAATGAAGTTCAACACATACAACATTACTAGTATAAATGCATGCCTAACTAGTATTATAACATATTTTATAAAATATTTAAATGTTTAACTAATATTAATAGTGTGGACTAGTACTGTTAGATGGGCTACTATTAAAATCTAAAGAGGTAGGTTGTAGGCGCAGAGTTAGCAAAAAAAGGGGTATATTTCATGTCTTCATCAGATATTTGAATAATATTGTTCATCATATATCCTTATTACTATCTATATCCATCGGAAACTTAGATACCATATTTGTATTCGTATATGATGAAAAATATCCGTATTTGTATTCACATCTAGATTATCCAAGTATTATCCGCTCCGAACCGTATTCATATTCGGTTTTCTTCGGAGCAGACGAAAACTATCCATTTTTTTTATCCCCTAGCTAGTTAGCACTGAGAGAACAAGAAAGAGGAGGATGAGGAGATGGACCAATGTGGTGGTGGCCTAGTGGAACCCACTTCTTGCATTTATTGTTAGATGTTGTATTTTCCTTAGGTCCTCATATATTACGTACAAGGGCGAATCAATCCATTGGGCTTTCACTTGGAACCCTACGTATACTTTCATTATGGCACGAGTTAGTTGGTCAAATCATCATCAAAGAGCAACAAGGATGATGATTGACGACTTACGGAAGGAGATACCTAAAGTCATGCTGGACCATTGAACCATGTTGGGCTATATCCTCTAGGCTAGTTAGTTAGTCTATACACAATAACTAGTATAAGACGATTAATAGGTTGGATTGGGAGCTTATCCCCTAGAAAAGTAATATACTTGTTGCGCCACATGGGAGAAGAGCAAATAATTAAACATAATAAGTGATAGCAGGTTACAATTTGGGTGATACTGTGATAGAGCAGTCAATTGGTCGTGAGCAAGATTGACAGTATCGAGATACACTATGATATTACCCGGGCAAAACGGTACGTGCCGGTTTTAGGATCATTTTCGGGTGGTATCGCGCTAATATTAGGATATGAGCATAGGACCATTAGAATCATGCTAGGATCGAGATACTAACTGTTTCAAACTAACAATATTTGAATTCAAAAATCAAAACTATCTGAATGCATTTTTGTTCATGTATCTTCAGAATCGTTGTTCAATAAAACTATTAGCACTAAGTGGGTGGTTTTCTCTTGACAAATCTCTCTTTTTTATGTTATATATTATTATGACTACATTTTTATAGAATGGCTATATATAATTAATATAAATATTAAATTAAACTTAAAAATAAAAATCTTATAGTATCCCGATAATACGACACAATCCTACGATCCGATACTACCTAAAATTAGGGATAAACATGGATTGGAAATGGACAGAAACTAGCTATAACATATTTGTTTTCTTTCTTCTTTTTTTTTGTGAATCGAAATAAAAAACGAAAACCCCGGATATAGAAATGGAATCGAGTACAGATAATATAGTGAATAAGAAACGAAACGAATACGGTAACAAATATTTCTCAGAATAATAAAAACCCCTCAAGAGATATCGCTTGTTTTTTTTTTGAAATAATTGGTCAACATTTCCAAATTTTATATCACCAATTTGGTAGGTAGGCCCACAATCGTATGTGAAAATCTATTTTCCTAGCATTTTCTAAGAGACCCACATGTCAATATGATTACCCACATCCTAGTCCCTCGATCAAACCCATGACCTCTTCCTTCATGCATAGTTTACTTACCATCTCATTTATCAAGTTCTTATTGGCTAGATTAAAGATACTATTCATTTTATTTCGCCTCTCCGAAACTAGTAATATTTGTTTTAAGCTTCAAATATTTTCAAATACAAATGTCATAAACTACAAAGTATTAGACCCTATTGAGGTCAACAAATTTGATATAAAGCATGTCTCCATAGAAGGTCGTTTGAATTGTAAATTCCAGATTTTGTAAAAACATATATGGCTTTTTATAACAAATATTTACACTTGTAAATGATGTCAAATGATAAATTTGTCAATAACAAAGTAGTAGAACTCATCGAGCTCTACAATTTTGATATGAAGTTATTCTTGATCCAACTTCATATGATAAAGTTATGTATATATACGTGTTTTCTAAAAATTAATTGCTACCTACGGATATCCGGAAAAAAAAACTCCACATAGTTTATGACTGTTTCCGATTTCCGAATACTAGTCTACCATATTCGTTTCCCTTTATAGGGAAAAAATATCGATATCCATTTCTGTATTAGAAAATTATCCATCCGATACTATCTGTTTCCGAAATACGTCCGGATAACGGAAACTATCCGAACCATTTTCATCCCTACCTAGAGTCTCGATACTAGCAACCTTGTGGATGGCAGAGGCCGTAGGCAAGATCCATTCTCGCGTTTTTGAAAAAAAATAATAAGAAGAATGGTAAAATCAATGACTTAACATAGAAGTGGCAAAAGTAAATAGTGATTTAAGGGCATGTTTGGATTGAAGCCAATTCTTGCCCTATCAATTATTTGGTAGTTTTGAATAGTACTTGTTAGCTATTTGGATTGAGGCCAAATCTTACAAATTTAATAGAGTTAGAAACAAAAAAAATTTTTGTAGTACCAAAACCTGCCCAAGATCTGGCATTACCAAAATTGGGTAGAGCTTAAAACCAAAACAACCCTAAAACCCATTATTCGTCGAGTTAAAAAGTGACAACGAAGGCCAATCCTCCTCTGTGCCGGCTTGACCGGGCCGGGCTGCCCATGGGCCATGGCAAGTCTAGCTGTCCTTTTTTTTTTTTTTACAATTCCTTTGGTTTTATCTTCACTCCAGTCAATGACACCTCTACCCCCACATATCCCTTGTCCCCACCTATCAGTGGCACACTCCAACCGAAGAAACCCAAATCCTCCCCCTTCGCAGAGCCCACCTTCCATTTCCACGTGCTCATTCACGCCCGCATCATAAACTGATACTCTGCGACCCACCAAAAGCAGCATCCATTTAATTTAATTTAATTTCCCCTCTCCTTTATTTTTTTTCCCACCCCCCACTGATTTCCTCCCTTTTTTCTTAACATATATTATATTAAACGAGGCGACTAATTCTTCGCCGTAGAAATCACAATTCCGAAGCAGAAACAAACAGCGACGCCATCGCGTCGCGTCATTCTTCCAATCGAGAACTCTTCTCCGGATTTCCTGGTTTTTTTTTCTTCTTCTTCGTCGTCGTCGCCCCCCCTCCTCTTCGATTCGTCCGTTTCCCAAGAGCACAATGGAAATCGTAGGTTTTAGGAACAGGAATTCGTATTAGCGAGTGGTAATTGCTGCCGGTTGGTGGATAATCCCATTTCGATGGCTCGATCGGCGGTTTAATTTGCGAATTCGTGAGTTCTTTTTTTATTTTGGATTCTAGGGTTCTCGATTCCTCCTCCACGCGAGGGAAGGAAAAAGTTGCGGAAATCGTAATCTCTTTCGTTGTTGTTGCGTCCTTTTGGCTTTAACCCGCAGGAAAAATTGTGGTGAATTTCTCGTGGACTCCGGCGCGGCAAGGGTGGAGGAAGGCGTGGACCGCGCGCGATGCAGTACCACCAGCACCGGAGCAGGCTGCCGCCGCCGCCGCCGCCGCCGCCGTTCGGGCGCGGCGGGGGTGGCGCCGGGTACCCCCGCGGACACAAGCAGCTGTACGCGCCTCCGCCTCCGCCGCCGCCGCAGCATCAGCAGCAGCGAAGGTACGAAGTGCTCATGGAGGCCGGCCGCCTCGCGGCCGAGTACCTGGTGGCCAAGGGCGTGCTCCCGCCGTCCTCCTTGCAGCGCGGCGTCGGGGCGTGGGGCGCTCCTTCTCCTCCTCCTCCTCCTGCTGCGGCGGGGGCGGCGCCGCACCCGCCGCAGCAGCAGCGGGAGGACCCGGCGTTCTATGGCCGGAGAAGGTATGATGATGAGTATAGCAACAACTCTAGCGCCCGGCCTAGGAGGAACAGTAGCAACAGTAGCAGCAGCAGCAGCAGCAGAGATGATTACAGTGGTGGTAGCTACAATGGGAGAGGCAAGAGGAAGTATGGGGATTACAGGAGAGGGTATTCGGATTGGGGGAGGGATAGGGAGAAGGAGAGAGGGAGGCCGGGTTCGAATGGCCGCCGCTATGAGGAGAATGACGATGAGGATGGGGCTCCTGGTTTCCGGAGGGAGCGGAGGGGCAGTGGAGGGAATGATGATGCGAGGAGTAGCGTTGCCGACGTGTATAGGGAGGCAACACCATTGATGAGGAAGGAACTAGGGGATTTGGAAATGAATGGTACTGAGTCGAGGGCCGCGAATCCCAGTGGTGAAGTTAAGGAAGCTGATGCTCCGCAGATGGTGCAGAGTGAAGAGAATGAGGAAGGTGAGATGGAGGAGGATGGCATGGTGTTGAATTCGGAACCAGAGGTTGTGGAGCTAAGGATGGACACAAATGATGATGTTAATAATGCTTCTGTTGGTGTTGATATGGAGACAGAGTTGCAGCGTTCGCCCAATGGTAACGTTCCAGGTGAGAAAGCCGAAGATGACGACAAAGTTTTGGTTGAGTCTGCTTTGGACAGTATTGCTTTGGATGATGAGGTGGCAAATACGGAAAATAACTTGCACGGTGATGAGAGGAATTTGCTTAAATACTGTGAATATGCAAAAGCTCCAACTAAGCGCAGGTCATCACGTCCACAAAGGAATGCAGCATCTGTCCAAATAGAACCAGCAGTATCTGAAACAACCGATCAGATTTCTATTGGAGAAGCTTCCCAGATAGTACCTGGTGAAGTTGCAAATGAGATCTCAGTGACCAACCTCAAGTCAGAAAATAGAGAAGATCAAATCTACCGAGAAAACACTGACTTTAGCACTTCCTGCAATGGTACATTGGAGCCAATTCTTCTTGAAGAAAACAATGAGTCAGCTGCGACTGGAAATATAATAGAAGAAAAGAATGATGTACAGCTCCATGTGGTCAAGGAACCAGAGGAAGAAGTAAATGTATCTGCATTCGCGCCTTCTCACAAGGATAGCTTGATGCAAGAAACTGACTTATCTCCATCAACGGCTTCTCACAAGGATAGCTTGCTTGAGGGTAACTTACCCCTGTTGACAGATTCTCACAATAGCTTGATTGAGGAAACTGGACCTCCATTGACACATTCCCATGAGGATAGCATGGTTGAAGAAACCAATCTCTCGTCCTTGACAACTTCTCACAAGGGCAACTTGAAACAGGAAACGGACTTATCTCAGACAATATCTTCTCATGAGAATAACTTGAAATTGCAATTTAAGGAAAGTTGTGGCATTGATATGCTGCCACAAGATGTAGACTTGATTGAATTGTCTGGTCAACGGAAAAGTGTTGGTGGTGAACTATTTTCCAATGTTGGAGCTGAAGCTGCCTCCAAAATGGAAGATGAAAATCTAGAGCAACCAAATCCATTTAAAATATGCGATCAGAACTTGATTGGTAGTTCTGAGGTTTCTGTGATACATAATAATCCTGGTTTGGCCCAATGCTCTACAGAAGGATCTTGCACAGAGTCACAGAAAAACCAGCATCAAGATTTTGTAACCACTTCAGGTGATATTGCTGGTAGTACAAATAATATGTGCCAACTTCCATTAGATAATAAGGGTGTCCAAGTAATTGATATAGAAGATGACACACCAATTGAAGTTGGTGGCTTTGATTCTTCAAAAGCAAAGTGAGTTGCTTCTATTCCAGTTATTTTTCTTGTCTAGCATGCTGTTTGAATTTGTTCTGTTTCTACCGTAGTGTTTTCTGCCCCTTTTATTCCATTAGTGTTACTGTATAATGGTGTAGGAATTAGTTGCTAGTCTCCTTAAAACTATTTGTATCTCTGTTTTTCTTTCATGGTCAAAGAGCTGTGTTAATTGTTCATGGGGGCCACCTTGTTGCATCAGGACATAAATAATATGATTGTTAAATCTCATCGTAGTGTTTGTATTTAAAAGATATAATGTGCTTTTGATCAGGAGCGACATGATATGCTCTAACATGGATAACATGATGGGCCCTGTTGTACACAGTGGTGATCTTCCTGGTATTCAAGATGGTTACAATCTTGCAATTTCTGATTATCTTGGTGGTGATATACCATGCTACCCATCAATGCAATCAGATCTTCATGGTGGTATAGGTGCTAATGATTCTGAGGTGAGACATCCTGATTAGTTATCACGTGGAGGCTAGTAGAGTTCCAAGAGAACTTTGCAAGAATGTAATATTGCACTGTATTTATTTCCGTAGATGATGTTTTGATGTTTTTGTTTTCCTTTTCAGGGTATCACTGTCATGGATGATCCAATATATGGGTCTCTCACTGATATTGGTAATTGTGACTAAACTTTAAGTTTCCTTAATCTGCATTATCTCTTTTCTTTCTTGTTCTGTATGGCCACTTTGTCAGTCTAAGATACATAATAAGTAGTTGCCATTTTCAGTTTAATTTTTTGGGGGGATGGAACATTCTAGTACTAGGCTGTTCTGGTGTATGGTTCTGGTATAGAAACATTTACAAACGTGTTCTATTTTATATACTGTTTTTATCACATACTCCATGCAGAGAACCCCAGATAACTCCACAATTAAGTAACAGAGCATGTATTCTGATTCTGGATTCAATGGTCCATGATAGCCAAGAGTGGCCATGGCAAGTTGGACAGCAACAGTGGTAACGTCAACTTGTCATGAAGCAGCAGTAGCACGTATGCAGGAAGGCAGTGGCTAGTTGATTGACTTAGGAAGGGGATAAAACATTAGTTGTATTCCCTTATGGATATACCCCTTCAGGAACAAATTGTTGAGATGTTCGCTGGTTCCTCCCAAGATACTATATCTGATGTAATTGGAAGCCAAAAATAAAAATAAAATCACCTAAAATAAAAATAGAACCAGGTCCTCTCTCCTCAATCACTTCTCCTACCAAGCATCATCTTTAGCACTTTCTCCTCAATCCATGCCGTGTGGCCTCTTCAGGTGGTAGTTACTCCATAGAGTCATCCTATACTTCACTTTGTCTTGTCGCATACAAGTTACAAGTGAGCCTTGTTTAGACGGCACATGTTGAACAAATGGGGATTCCTGGTGGAATAACAAGACTTGACACACATTGAAAATCATGGATAGAAGGACCATATATGCCAGGAAGGAAAAGGCTGTGATGGTTGTCAACTTCTCTCTGGTATTAGAATAGTTGAAATGGCCCATAGCAACGAGATTTCGAGGCAAAAAAACACACCCACATCCTTTGTGTTAGGAAAGAAAAGTAGAATGTTCTAGACTTCCAACTGTTCCAGCTGGAAGACTCTTTAATGGGTAGACCCGCAAGGTGCAGTTCCTGCTAACTTCAAAACTAAGAAAAAATATTCTCTCAGTTTACAAGTGATTTCAATTAATTTGGAGATTAATTAGACACAACAGGAGATCCACACAATATGGAGGGAGCAAGTTTCGGGTCGGAGTAACTCTGAATTCAATCAGAATAATTAATCACTCATGAGAAAACACATGTATACACTGTAGGTCTTTGTAGAACTTCTACGGGCATGATTGCCATATAGAAATCCATTTATGTCCAGAGTGCCTAGATAATTGTGACGAAATCACTCTTCTAAATAGCAGCCTTCATGATCTCAACATCAGGCGCCATGAAGGCAGCAAGTAATAGTATGTCTACCCTGGTGCCATGTGCATATCTGTCGAATTTCAAGATTTAGAAATCCACTTTAGCAGCCCTCGAAAAGCTTTAAAGGCCTCTATAGCAGCCGAAAGAAAACATGCTCAATATGTAGCTACAAGTAGCTGAACTGGGATAATAACTAGAACCTTATTATTTGTTACTTTTCGTGGAACTGGAATATAGGATAGCATAGAGGAACTTGCGTGCCATTACTGGGATTTGAACCAGTGATTTACAGATTCATGCCATTGCTTTCCTTTTGATAATTGGGCATGTTTACCCCTGTATGAGTGGGCCTCATGTTCATGCATCCCCACAGTCCACCGCACAGAACTCTACCTTCACAAACCACCTGATTTATTATGCCCTTGTTTTTCTATGCTTCTCGTTCTGTACAGCAAATTACTGCATCAAACTCTGCTTCTAATTTTACTGAATAGATGTTTGGCACATGAGCACAAAACATTTGTTCATTAGTACACGGCAACAGTCTATATGTCTATATCTGCCAGTTATATTAGACTAGGAACCAAAGTGAATATATTGGATTGTAAGAGTATACTGTGCGCCAGTGAAATGAACGGCAAACGTGTACAACACCTTGACAAATAGAGTTGTTCAGGATTACTTGATACACCGTTCAAATGTTGGCATGGTGTTAAGTTCATTTTTGTTGCAAGTGTTGCCGCTTTGGTTTTCTATGGTGTAACCTTTTGATATTGTTTAGCACTTCGAAAGTCCCATGCATCTTTTTTTTCCCGATTTTCGCCTAGAGGCTAACCTCATATGCTATTATGGTTTCAGGTTTCATGGATGTCTGGGGGCAGCCAACACAGGATGACTACGAGAAGTTCTTCTAGTCCGCTGCCCAAAGAAGGCTGAGATTGTTGAGGAACTTTACAAATAAACCTGAGTAATCGGTAGCTTAGGCGAGAATAAGTAAAGTAGATTGTGCCCTCGTCTCAAAGAAAATGCTGTATCGGTCTTAGTTTAGCGTTGGTACTCAGGTTGTTGGGGGTGAATGGTGGTTGTTTAATCAGAGGTGTAGTAGAAGACATGTGTAAGGCCAAACAGCCGGACAGCACAGGATGGATAGCTTTTTTCTTGTTTCCCTTTTTGATATGTTGGTGTTCTGTTCTGTAGAATGATTCCGTTTGGATCAGTGTATGCTAGTTCCTACAGGCAAATGCTGCGTCTGGATCTAATGGGTTTTGATCTCGTTGGCACGATAGCGACTTCAAAGCAGATCCGAGACACTTCGTATATACTTCCGTTTCAAAATATAAACGACTTCTAATATATGCAGTTCTGTTCCGTTTATACTAAATTACTAATCCTGCAATTCTATTCCTTTTCAAAATATAAACGACTTCTAATATATAAACGTCTTATTTAAAAGACTATGAAATTATTATTTATTTATTGATTTTGTTTGTGACTTGCTTTATTATCAAAAGTAGTTTAAGTATGACTTATCATATTTTATATTTATACTATTTTTTTAAATAAGACAAATGATCAAATGTTGCCAGCATAAAGTCAAAACGGCATCAAATTTGGGACGAAAGGAGTATTTGATCCGAGATACTTTCGTATAAGCTAAATATAAGGACGTGACTACATAGCTAGCGGTAGCTGGTCCGTCTAAACCAACTACCACTTCATCTATGAGACACCATATCCACATATACTTCAAATAAAATTTTCTCTTAAACTACTCATCAGATCTACGATTCGATTACACCGTTGTGTTTGTAACAATTAAATTTTTATAATAAGATATCACATGATTATATTTTGATTAAAAATTATAAATTAATTTTATAGTGTATCTAAATTACCTTTAGATTTCACTAAATTACTTATTAGACATATAAAAGTAAATTCAATAAAGCCTAAAGGTAACTTACATATATATTATATTATAGGAGTAACTTATAACAAAAAGAAAGGGGTGAATAGCTAATTTAGTCCCTCAAGTTTCAGCGAAGGCTTAATTTGGTCCTTCACGTTTCATTTTGTCCACATAGATCCTTCACATATTTGTTTTGGCTTGAAATCATCCTTGGGTCCACTTAATATGCCATATGGCTATTTCTAGTCAATATTTCTATTAGAAAATGTCATTTTTGTCCTTAATTTGTATACATCTATATACTAGAAAAGAGAAAGCCAACATGAATAAACAATATCTGTATATTACAGATGTACTTCCCATTATTTCAACATATGCACATGAAACTTAAGCAATTGCTATTGTATACACTTGCTAGTACATAATTTTTTTCGTTTTACATAATATACTATGTATTATCTATAAAAAATTCAAGCATGCAATTTCTCTCTTATACATGTGAATGATGAGGGGTATAAGTGTCATTTATGAAGAGAGTTGTTGGTTCAAGGATAAGTTTGAACTAAAGTGAAAACTTGAAGGACTAATATGGATATATTGAAACATCAAGGACTAAACTGAGCCTCAGATGAAACTTGGAGGACCACTTTGGCTATTCACCCAAAAGAAAGTAACTTTAATGAATGCCTTTTTTCATTGGACGTGACTATACAGCTAGTGATAGCTGGTTTAAACTCCATTTAGTGTCTCCTTTCAACTTGAAAAATGCAATAGTATGTATCTTTTTTAATCTCTTTAATAACTTATATCTTTTAAATCACATATTGTTTTTAAGATCTATTTGCATCGTTGTACTCCACTCAAAATATGTGACAAAACGATATTCATATTGAATATATGTAAACATTTTATTAATTTAAAAGTAATTTATTACATGTTAGAAAGTAACTTCCATGTTATCAGGAAGTAACTATTACATCTTATACATGGTTAATTCTCATTAGTTATTTCATCAATGTTATTTACAATCTATCAAAGGTTTTATCTTCTTTTCTCATTCTACATGAAAAACAAAAATGAAAGGAAAAAAACAAATCGGTGATTAAACAGATTTATAGAGAGTTACTTCTGAACCATACAAAAGTTATTTTCAATTCACATTAAAGTTACTTTTAAAAATTGTTAAACTTACATGTGTTAATCTGTACTGATTAAATAATGTTTTCTAGATAAAGTCATATTTTTATCCCTACAACGAATTTATTTCTAATGTCGTGACAAAGTTACTTCCGTTTTGTTTTAAGTTACTTTTATAATATATGTAAATTACTTGTATACTTTATTGAATTTACTTTTATATGTCTAAGAAGTAATTTAGTCAAATCTAAAAGTAACATATATATATATATATATATATATATATATATGATAAAAATAACTTGCGTGTATAATAAAAGTAATTTACAAATATAAATATTTTTTCATCGTAATATAATCATGTAAGATATTGTTGTGAAGATTTAATTGTAACAAACATAATGGTGTAATCGGATTGTAGATCGGATAAGTAATTTGAGAGAAATCTTGATTTGAAGAGGAAAAAGACATACATATCTTTTAAAAATATAGCATGCATATAGTAGACTACTCCACGTGCATGAGACGGTTCGGGCGTCGCTCGTTAAGGCAAAAGCGAGAGGCCTCTCCAAATAGATTTTGATAATAATCCGGCCTAGGTGGGGTTGGCCGAGGCCCAATAAAGACTAGTCTAATAGGGGAAGGATGGCTCTCCCTTTTAAGGTGGCTTCCTCCTCCCAAGCTAAACAAGGTGGGATTATTCAGAGGCTCACACGGTCGCCGCCCGACTTTGGTGTCTGGGTGGCTCTCCCTTTTAAGGTGGCTCTCTCCTCCCAAGCTAAGCAAGATGGGATTATTCAGAGGCTCCACCCTTTTAAGGTGGCCTCCTCCCAAGCTAAGCAAGATGGGATTATTCAGAGGCTCACACGGTCGCCGTCCGCCCGACTTTGGTGTCTTTGCCAGCGGGTAATAGTGGAGGATGTCCATCATTCCCACCCCCTAAACAAGGGCTGATTATTCAGTGTCTTTGCCAGCGGGTAATAGTGGAGGATGTCCTTCATCATTCCCACCCCCTTAACAAGGGTTGATTATTCAGAGGCTCACACGGTCACCGCCTGACTTTGGTGTCTTTGCCAGCGGGTAATAGTGGATGATGTCCTCATCATTCGCACCCCCTTAACAAGGGCCCAGTTTTGATACCAAATGATAACAATCCGGCCCAGGTGGGGTTGGCCGAGGCCCAATAACTTAAGATTGTCCGGACCCCAACAGTTCATAGGCACACCCACTCGGAGAAATGCCCAATCTTCCTAAAAGACTAGTTCAATAGGCTAAAAGACTAGTCCAATAGGGAAAGCAGGGAAAGCGTGGCTCTCCCTTTTAAGGTGGCTTCCTACTCCCAAGCTAAGCTTTGGTGTCTTTGCCAACGGGTAATAGTAGAGGATGTCCTCATCAGATTTTACCTAAGTATAAACGACAGTTCTGTTCCGTTGAATTAACTATTTGAAAAGAGAACCGCAGGTCGGCAACTGCCTGGACAAATGCTGCCGTGACGTCACTCAGAATAATTAACTCTTAACCTCGTTTATATGTCCTGCAATATGTGTGCACTACAGATGATCCGTCCAGAGCACACAAACAGTCCAACACATACATTCCCAGAACACACAAACAGTCCTGCAATCCTCTATTGGGGCAAGCGATGTGTCCATAGCACAAGTGATAAATATTCAGTACAAAAATTTGTTGTTTATTCACCAAATCGTCTAGCACCATATAAGTCCATGTTCCCATGCAACAAATGTAGCCATGGCTCTGGGGTGAGTCAAAATTATAAGTTGGTTGTACTATCTCAAAAATAAGCAAAAGAAAACGTAGTCTGAACAACAGTACGTAACCACAAAGATACAGCAAAAGAATATTGACATGCCATTATATTCATGACAGACAAGTGTTACAGGCATTATAGCCTGATAAATTAGTCCGCTCGGGATTGACCAGCACGAGATGACAAGATGATACCAACAATGAGACCATAGAGTGCAAGCGCTTCCGCAAAGATAAGGATGAGGATCATACCCACAAACAGTTTTGGCTGTTGAGCATTTGCCCTGAGAGCAAAAGTAGATTATGTTAGAACAGCGCACCAAGCAAAGCATAAAAATCAAAATTCCTGTGGTTCCAATCAAGCTGCACAAAGTGTCATGAAATGGTACTAAATGCGATCATATAATCCATGAAACTGTAGAAGGAACATATAACCATTGAGAGACATACATGCATGGTTTCCTTTGTCACAAATCAAGGTACAACGATAAATTACTGTAAATCATGATTTGAAATTTAATCATAGATCATGCAACATCCAGTTATCCAGTAGGTCAGTATACCAAAAGAATCTTAGCTGCGATCACATGAACTGACCGCAGGCATGAATTGTGCAGTAATGTAGATTGACAAAATGGCTTGTAAAGTTTGGCTGAACTACAAGGACATAACTTTGCATTGAAAAGGAAAAAAAAAAGTATAACCGCATCCATTGGTACGTTCCTAGAAGGGCCAAAAGTGTTCACTAAATAATAATAAAGTCAAGGAAAGTCAAACTTGACTATCAGAGCAAATTTTAAAATACAAAACTCAACTCATTAAGAACCTCAATTACCTGAGACATTTGAATATTTCTGCTAGGCATTTAAATAGCACATAGACCTATCCATACCATACATATAGCCAGTTTTAATTTATTAAAGAAAGGGTCAATTACTTGGAGCCAAGTGAAACTCTGTTTATTTAGTAACGGAAGAATTTTGCATTCTAGAACAATAGCCCCTAGAATAAGGGTCAACATTTACATGGCGCTGAACCCCTGATATGCATGGGATTGACTTTGCTGCCCAAACTCTGAGAATCATAAGCATAGAGATGTTTCCCCTTTGTATTCTTTTTTTCCTTTAAGAAAATGCAATGCCATCAAAAATTGATGATACAATTTATGTAAAGTTCAGTTACAGTAACTATTGTAAAGTTATTAGTGAAGTGAAACATGATGGCTATTTCTAACTAAATTAACATATCAAACATAAATTACATCCATAACAGCTGTAAAGTGGGTTTAGGATCATTGCTCATATCCGCATATCACATTAGAAAGCTCTAAGATTCTAAGGATGTAGACATGTGAGAATGAGTAAAGGATTTCTCTTCTTTTCTCATGACTCCAAACAAATCACAATTTAATGGCATTAGGCACTATAGCAGTTCAGCAATTTTACCTCATTCCGGAGTATTATTAACAAATCCACATCAAAAAAAGTTTAACACATTTTGGGTGGGGGGGATTTCGGGATGGGGATAACCTGACGCCGGCGTCGCCGACGATGCCGATGGCCATCCCGGCGGCGAGGCCGGCGAGGCCGCACGCGAGGCCGGAGGAGAGGTGCGCGTAGCCGTCGAAGAGGAAGTAGGGCTTGGCCTTGGGGTTGATCCCGGTGCTGATGATGACGGCGATGATGAGGCCGTAGATCCCGAGCACCCCGGCCATGACGACGGGCACGATGGATTTCATGACGAGCTCCGGGCGCATGACGCCCATGGACGCCACCCCGACGCCGCTCTTGGCCGTGCCGTAGGCGGCGCCCATGCAGGAGAAGACGAGCGCCGCCGCGGCGCCCAGGAAGCCGAAGAAGGGCGCCGTCTCGTCGCCACTGAAGGTCGACGCGCCGGCCATGGGGGATTGGATTGGATTTGGTCTCCTCCTTCCTTGCTTGCGATGAAATCCTAGGGCGTTTGATCGAGGATTGGGGGTGGTCGCGTGGGGTTGGTGTTGGTGGGGGAAAGAGAAGAGGTGGTGGTGGGGGTGAGGAAGAAGGAAAGAGATATGTGGCGGAGACTACGGGGCTCAATGCTTCAACTTGTCACACCATATTTTAGGCTGTCACATGTCTTTAGAGTCTTATGTTTGGTTTATTGCCATGGTTATGACAAGTCGTACTTTCTTACCATCTTACCCCACATGTTATAGACTCAATTCTTTGTCTAACTTTGCCACAATTGTGGCTTATAATTTGTAGGTCATAAAAACTGTGACAAGCCACACTTATCTAACATTGCCTAAAGTGAGTTATGGCAATGTTAGTTAAGAACCAAACAGCCTCTACATCTACCGTGTAAACTATAGTAAATTTCTGTTAAATATAAAATGTACGTCTGTGATCTACTACCTCCAATCTCAGAATGTATCAATCTAGGATGGACAATGTATTTATATATGAGGCGTGTCCAAATACATTGTCCTAAGATAGGTCTCGTCTCATTTTAGGTTGTTATATTCTGGGATGGAGGGAGTATCTACGTCGTACGTGTTGAAACTTTCAGAAACGACCCCGTCTCATCCAGACATTTAGCACGTTAACCCCCTCACTCTACCCACTGCCCAAATGCACAGGGGCAGGGCTCCGATTCAAAATCCATCCCCAAATTGGCTACTCCAAGCTCCAGTGATGCCAGGGAGTCGACGGTCGGCGGCTGCCTCGGCCGACATTATAGGTCTTACTCTCCTCCCTCCTCCCACATGCTCTCCCCCCTATCCCGTTGGTCCGTATTCTGTTTTTCCCCAAAATGTACTTCCTGTTGAGTTGGACATGTTCCTAATTTCAGATGAGCTAGGGGTTCGACTCTGTCGGTGCTCATGTAGGGAAGGCATGCGAATTCTCCACCTGTAGCTGCCTGCATATCCTTCTCCCGTCTCTTCCCCCTCTTGCATCTGGTCCCTCATCCATTGGCCTGCCAGTTCCTTCCACACAAGAGGTACTAATGGTGTTCCTCCATTTTATTTGTTCAATTGATTCCCCTGGAGCCCTTCCTCTCACACACAAGATGCTGATGTTGCTCTTATATTTTATAGCCAGTTCTTTTTTCACTAGTTTGTGTTGTTGTCCTGGTTACTGTGAGGTCATCCACGAACTGTTCTTGTTGCTTGGGAGGCTGGGACTAGTTATGCTCTTTATTCCATTTTTAAACTATTATTGTTCAACTGATGCGGTACCTCCTTTTTAGGATGTGCTCATCGAGCCCTACTACTAATTAAAATGGTTCATTAGTGAACATGACTGATCTGAAAAAAAATCCAGTGTAAAAATTGTGCCTCTTGTACAAATTAATAGAATTGTGTATTTTAACACATGAACAACAATAGAACATGGCAACAATGATGATTTCATTTCATATATTTTGTTGCTTAGTTTTTACCATTAATTGGGTGTGCCCTATTATAAAAATAAAACTCTTACATATAGGATTCCAATCCTACAAAGTGTTCCAGGAGAGTGAAATGAGCATGGCAAGGAGATTAGAATTTGATGATGTACATTCTGATGCGGAGTCAGTTACTACAGGTGTTCCGCATCGGCGAGCCCAGTACATCAAACCTCAAAAGTCTACAAGCATCCCATTTTGTGTAAGTAGTATCAACGCCCTATTTTCGTTAACTTTAGTATTCCCAATATATTCTTTGATTTTTTTTTCTCAGTATGCACTTCATAGGGTTCATATTTTGTTCCAGAATGTGATGATTCCGTGGTGCCACACATAGGGATGACTTTTACGGATGTGGAATCAGCCAAGGAGTTTTATGAATGCTATGCTCATAGAGTTGGGTTTTCAATCCGTATAGGACAACACAAGAAAGTTGATGGAGTGGTTCTTTACAAATGTTTCCTTTGTGCAAACAAGTATGCTCGGAGCCCACAAGCCGTCACCTCCTCCACCACCGCGGCACCGCGTCTCCTCACGCAACCACACAATTGACCAGCAGTTCTTCTCTCTCGCTGTTCTCCTTCCTTCTCCACGCTCCAGCTCGTTGCTTCGCTTTGGCATCGGCCATGATGGCCATCCTCTCTCTGTTTTGGATCTAGCGATGGAGTTGTACCATTGTGAGAAAGGTGAGAAATAGAATGATGTATTTGAAAATGTACATAGCCTGGACGCGGGGGGGGGGGGGGGAGTGGGGGGATTCTTTGCAGTTAATTACACAATGTTTATATCTGCAGTTTTTCTTAACATCTCAAACATGGTGCGTGAGAAAGTATACCTCTAATCAAGTCAATCTATTTGCAAATGAAATGTACAAATAACTTTAATTTCACAGCATGTTTAGTATTCTTTTTTAGATAATAGGTAAAACCCATATATGGGTTCATAGACCAACATGGGTGTATGCAGACAAACAAAGTATATGGGTTCATAGACCCACCGGTTCATATAAGAGAACAGCCACCTTTAAAGAGTATAACCACACAAAAACTCCAAACGAAAGAAAGGAATAAGAGAAAGTTTAAGCTTTTAATCTTCCTCTAAAATTCCAGCCATTCCTAGAAAAAAAAGCTAAGCACATTGGATTCCAATATTATGCAGTTTTTTTTCATCAAACTTCCTCATTCATCCTCAAGCAACAATGCCCATTGTCGTGCCCAATATGTCTCTTTAAAGATCACCTGCAAAAATAAGTTAATTTTGATACCATTAAATACCACATCATTCTTTCACAATCATCGTCCAACAAAGTGTCGTAATGCCTCCGAAAAAGTGATACTTTAGCGTAGGTTGACAACCGCTAAGCCAAATCACTGAGCAACACTATTAGGATTCGGAATCTGGCATTTCATAATCTATACACCATCTATAGAAGGGCAAATGATAGTGACAGCTCACTTTACATAGGTCATAAAAGATTAAAGCTGGGAATAATATAGACAATCAGAATGTTAAATGTAATTTGAAATTTAATGATTCCTTTTTATAATTGTCTGACAAAGAAATTTAATCTTCACTTTTCAAATTAGGAATTATTAATTTTGATAACGATAGTAATTTTGTGAATGCTATTAAGGATATAAGGAGTTTAGAAATATCTAGGTTAAGTAATGTTTAGAATTGAAAGATAAGCAAATTTCTATTGTTTCTTCTAAAAATGATTTGGTTGATGACCAGTTGGAGGATAATTCAATTTTGGAAAAACTTTGTACTGAAATTATGAAGGAGGTGATTATGATTGTAATTTTCATACCACCTTAGGTTTTGTATTATCTTCTCTGGAAAAGAGAAATGGTAAGAAAGTTAGGTGCAAGAAATAAAATCAAAGTTGTTTTAATGAAAGAAATTTTTGGAATTATGATGGGTTTAACGAACAGAAAAAACATAAGTTTATTTCTGACTGTACTAAAGAACATTAATTAGATTTCATTGCTTTATCAGAAACTATTAAGAGAGATTTTACAAATTCTGTCCTTAAAAATCTCTTTGCTGGCAAAGATTTTTTATGGTGCTGTAAACCTCCTAAGGGACATTCTGTAAACCTCCTAAGGGACATTCCGGTGGTATGTTATTAGGGATTAATTTACAGACTTTTGATATTGGCTTATTTGATAATGGTAATTTTTATATTAAGTCCCATTTTTGGAATAAGATTGATAAGTTTAAATGAGCTTTAGTTTTGGTGTATGATCCATCACACAATGAATTTAAGGAGTAGTCCTGTGAAAAAAGAATAATGATAATTTTGATAACAGATAGTATTTTCTATATAATGTTATTATAGATGACATTAGTCTTAGAGAGCTTACAATATTGAGGAGGAATTTTACATGGGCCAACATGCCAACTTATGAGAAGTTAGATAGAATATTAATGTCGACAGTGTGGGAACAAAAAAATTCCACTGTCCATAGTGTTTGCTTTCAATAGAGACATAACTAATTACACTTCTTTACTTTTAATATAAATTCTTCTTCTATTTGTAATAGCCATAGAGACATAACTAATTACACTTATTTACTTTTAAACACAAATTCTTCTTCTACTTGTAATAGCCATCAAAACTTTAAGATTGATTTAGGTTGGCTGTTAAGGGATGGATTTGTGGATATGGTCAAATTTTTAAGAGGTTGGGCCAAGTAGAATATTGGCTCTTATAAAATAGAGAAGAAGGTTTTGTTAGAAAATCTTGATTTTCTTGATAAAAAGCTGATTCAACTTTGTTAAGTCAAGAAGAGCTTGATACTAAACTTTATTTGATGAATGGGTCATTTTGTTTGCTAAGAGAAGAGGAAATTAAATGGTATCAACGAGCTAAGACTAAAGATATTTTGAAAGGGGACTCAAATACTAAATATTTTCATTTGATAGGAAATGGTAAGCATAGGAAAACAAGGATTTATCAGCTACATCATGGTGGTCGGGTAAATAATGGTGATGCGAATTTGAAAGTGCATATCACAAACTTACTATAAAGATCTTTTTGGCCTTCCTGAAGCTTCTTCTTTAACGTTGAATGAAAGTCAAATAAGTGATATTCCCCATGTTTCTCAATTAGAAAATAATGCTTTACAAGATTTTACTAAGAAGGAAATTAAAGATGCAATTTTTCAAATGGAACGTAATAAAGCTTTCCGGATGGATTCCCAGCTGAGTTTTATCAAGTTTTTTGGATTGTTATTAAGCCAAATTTGGTTGATTTATTTAAAGATTTTTATAGTGGTAGTTTACCTCTTTACTCTCTTAACATTGGTACTATTATTTTATTGCCAAAGTGTAAACAGGTTATGTAGATGCAACAATATAGGCCTATTTGTTTACTTAATGTCAGTTTCAAATTTTTTACTAAAGTTGCTACAGATAGAATTTCTGGAGTGGCTCAGAAGGTTATTAGTCCCACACAGACAACTTTTATACTTGGGAGGAATATTATGGAAGGGCTTTTCATTCTTCATGAAACAATACATAAATTTCACCATAAAAAAAGAGATAATACAAGAAATGCTATTGACAAGCGTCCAAGTCCCAGAAATGCCATTGACAAGTGTGAGTTCCAAGAAATGCCATCGTACAAACAATTTTGTCCCAAAAATGCCATCGTCGTTAGGGTTCCGTCCAATTTGCGTCGTTAAATACACTGTTCATCCTATATAACTTAACGGCGTGGAATGGATAGAACTCTAACGGTGATGGCATTTTTGGGACAAAGTCATTTGTACGATGGCATTTCTTAGAACTCACACTTGTCGATGGCATTTCTGAGATTTGGACGCTTGTCAATGGTATTTCTTGTATTATCTCAAAAAAAAAGGAGTGGTGTACTTTTTAAGATTGATTTTGAAAAAGCTTATGATAGTGTAAATGGTCTTTTATTCAACAAACTTTGAGAATTTTCAAACCTATAAAGGTTTAAGGCAAGGGGATCCTTTATCTCCAATTATTTTTAATATAGTTGTTGATATGTTAGATATATTAATAAAGATAGCAAAAGATGATGGTCAGATTTCTGGAGTGGTCCCACATCTGCTTGATAATAGTTTATCTATTTTATAATATGCTGATGATACTATCATTTTTTAGAGAATGATATAGAGAAAGCAAAAAATATATATATGAAATTGATTTTCACTGCTTTAGAAAAATTATGTAACCTCAAGATAAATTTTCATAACAACGAATTATTTTGCTTTGGCCAAGCAAAGGAATGTCATAAGTAATATTCAAATATTTTTGGGTGCTACTACGAGATTTTCATATTAGATATCTTGGCATTCCTATGCACCTTAGAATTTAGTAATAACGATTGATTAACGGTTGAACAAAAAATTTGGGACAAACCTTGAGGTGATAAATGAGGTTAAATCATTCTTGTCTCAAAATTTTGATATGAAGGATTTGGGTATAGCTGATGTTATCCTAAACATTAAGCTAATTAGAGGTGAGAATGGGATTACACTCTTGCAGTCCCATTATGTGGAGAAGATCTTGAATCACTTTGGCTACATTGATAGTAAGCCTTCTCCAACACCTTATGATCCTAGCTTGTTGCTTCGCAAGAACAAGAGAATTGCTAGGAATCAACTGGAATACTCCCAAATCATTGGCTCACTTATGTACCTGGCTAGTGCAACTAGGCCTGATATCTCCTTTGCTGTGAGCAAGTTGAGCCGGTTTACCTCTAATCCGGGAGATGATCACTGGTGTGCGCTTGAGCGAGTAATGCGTTATCTGAAAGGTACTATGGAATTGGGGCTTCACTATACTGGGTATCCTGCAGTACTAGAGGGATATAGTGATTCTAACTGGATCTTTGATGTGGATGAGATTAAAGCCACTAGTGGATATGTCTTCACACTAGGTGGTGGTGCTGTTTCGTGGAGGTCTTGCAAATAGACCATTTTGATGAGGTCAATCATGGAAGCAGAGCTGACGGCACTGGATACTGCTACTGTTGAGGCAGAATGGCTGCGTGATCTATTAATGGATCTGCCTATTGTTGAAAAACCGGTGCCAGCTATCCTTATGAATTGTGACAATCAAACGGTGATTGTCAAAGTGAATAGTTCTAAGGATAATATGAAATCGTCTAGACATGTGAAAAGACGATTGAAGTCTGTCAGGAAATTGAGAAACTCCGGAGTTATAACGTTGGATTACACATCCAAACAGCTAGAAACCTGGCTGATCCCTTCACGAAGGGACTATCACGAAATGTGATAAACAATGCATCGAAGGAGATGGGTTTGAGACCCATGTGAGTTATACTATGGTGGTAACCCAATCTATGTGATCGAAGATCCTGTGAATTAGAACCTGGGAAGAACAAACCATTAGTAAACTAGAGGAGAGTACCAATCTATACCCTCTCTAAGTGAATATGCATGTACTCTTGTGAGCTGCAAGGCTGGTTGGCTATGCCTTAATGTGTTCTGTTGGCTTTAATTAGCGAAGATGCTGTCCTGCAGAACATTCTTGAAAGAACTCACCTTTGTGAGCTTGACTGTTGGTCGCAGTCTATGGAAATTTTGGGTGAATCTTCTAGGAAGCTGTCACGCCCAGAAATTCCCGAATAGAATTCCAAGCAGAATGTGCATTAAAATCCCCGTCCAGGACCAGCCAGGGTACACAAACGACAATGTTGACATTCAGATCCACGTCTTACAAACATCATAAAAGTCTTACATAAATGCAGCGGAAAGAAAGAAAGACAACAGGAGCTAAGCCTTGACTTGAACTGCAGCGGGAACACCACTCCACAGGCATCCTCGACGGCACGGACAAAGCCTACTCCTCGGAGAAACCTTC